ACAAATCATTTATCGTACGACCACTATTACTGGATCGTGACATAAGATACTTCCGTAACAGATGGTAACACAACAAAACTGTCCTATTAAGAACGAATTACGCAAGATGAGACATCGTGTAAGGGACGTTGGGCGCTTTAGGCGAAGTGAAAGTGATTCAGATTAGAAATAGGGGAAATATTCAAGCTTACCTGAAGAGTATATTAGCCTATGGCATTTTTATTGAATAACACTATTCAATATAAAAACAATATAACCTATATCACTATCTCATCCCTATCAGAAACTATTGAATACAGCTAGTTTTTAGTGAATGCAGCGAGAGATTTTACTAAGAATACAGTAATTATTAATATTGGTTCTACCAATCTTGACTGAATTGAAACAGGTCTCTAATTTGTCCGCAGTGTCGACTTTGTCAGCAATTTTTACTATGCCGAGCCTGCCGGGCAAGGTATGTTCCTTCTGTAAACAATTTCTACTTGTATTATTTCATACGCCGAATAACAAAACAAAGATATAAACTACTCATGCGTACGTCTCTAAGTTGCATCATTGGATTTGCTTAAAGGTCTGTGTGAGTGATTTCTGATACCAGAATCGAGTCATCATATCCATGCATTGCAGTATTCGATACAACCCTGTATTTGTCTTCAAGGCCTAAGAGCTTAGCGTATTTGGTCAGCGGCAAGTCAGCACGTCATACTTTGTATTGTTTCAAAACTTGGCAATGCCAGATTACTAATCATGCATGACCTGTGCATCGCGCTCCCGCCATGGTAACCCTATATGCATACTTGAAAATAAATACAAATCTCAAAGCTCGGGACTTTATCTCATCGAGGGATGGGTACGGTACTCCCGTATTTATTGCTTACAATTGCTTCATAGCGTTTTCTGACCATATCGGTAACGGCATAGTAATTTACAGTCACCCAGTTTCTATAATTTGAAATTGATTAAATATGACTGTACAATTTTATTGCACAGTAATTGCCGTTACATGTCATAGGCAGTATTCTTAGTAGATTTTATCTCGTATTGGGGTTTGATGTAATGAAGGTGCTAATTATAAATTATTATTTTGGTACATAGATACTTTCACGTCATCGGCACATTCATTTCAGGCGTTTTCCTGAAAAATCCAATATTGGTAGGAGCTAATTTGTTTTCTGAATTCATGCATAGAAGTAATTTTACAATATTATTATTTTTACAAAGTGTTTGTACGCCTTCTATATGAACAAAGATTGAATTACCTAACGGGCCAGATTAACCCCTTTGTGACTTCATCAGATGCGTGGCCTATTTGGCCAATCGATGGGCCCAGAAGCTTAAACCCTTATTACTTGTAAATGCCGCCAGAGATATTTCGATATAACGGGTAACTGCATGTCAACTAATTTGGCAATAATGGTCAAGTAGGCAATTTATGAGTTTGTTATTTTAATATATATGGAAGTGAAACAAATTAATATAATTCCTTATTGTTTATAAGGGTGAGTAACACACAACCCGGAAAGCTGGAGTAAACACGCGATCAAATTAGATGATACAATTTGGTGATTCACGGTACCAAGTTATTTTGAGTCGGGTGATTTGATTTTTGGGACTTTAGAAACTTATCCAAATTTTCGTGTAACAAAGTAACTGGATATTTCCTAAAATAAACTAGAAGTATGATTAACTTTAATAATATCTGCACTTTTATTTTCTTTAAATAATTTGCTCAATGCGAAGACACGTCCCTTTACTGGGTAGACTAAAGAATTGTTCAAAAATAAAATCGAAAGTCGCAACTGGTACGTGAACAGTTAACAAGAATTTAGACTGTATAAAATCGTGAAGGCAGGGGTTACTTCATCTTATGTAGTGTGACTGAAGTTAGTCAAGTCATATCGATTTAGTCAGAGTTGAATTAACCATTAAGAAAATAAGAACGTGCATAGAGCACCACGACAAAGGGGACACCCCAAAGTGCCTCTAAAAGGCATGGTCCGGTACTGGATTTGGTATAAATGCCGAAATTGAGTTTTAGTGGCAATAGGCATCAGATTATATTCAGAAACTATTTTGCATTGTGCCTATGGGATACGCATCGTTTTTTCAATATCACCTTGTAAAGGACAATAATCTTATTGTTTATTTCATGATATCTTTCGTTAGCTAGACATTTCGTTAAGTGTGTAAATGTTGGTATACACAATATGAACAACCTATAATGTTCTATTTTCCGAATTGAATATTACCCTCAGTACCATGCATTGATGATATTTGGTCAGGTATGGTGATAAACGGCGTTCCAATAGTTGACCTGCTTGGAGCGTATTTTCAAAATACAATTAGCTGTTTTGTTTAAATTGGCCATTTTCGTTAGAATATAAGGCTTACATTAACCTATAGACTTAATTATGTGTATAGTGGGATTAATTTCATTCAAATAAAAATATATCAAATGTCGTTGATATAATCAAGATCTCTCGAATTTTCACGGCTCTGATATCAAATAAAATCAGTAAATATTTCTTTAAAATAACATCATCCAGGTCAGTTTCATTAATATTTCAAACCTTGCTTGAAACCTTTTTTTAGTTTCGCTGGTACAAAGCAGGGTAAGCATTGTTCTAAAATTGTCTTCATAAGTAAATGACGAAGCTGATGAAAGATTACTTTTATTTAAAATTTTAGTTACTATTTTAATTATTGTACTTCATTTTATTATTTAGATATATTAGATTAGAAATCTTGACTCTTTAATTTCCTCCGCAACCTCGCTTAGAGATGAGTCTCCTTTACTTCTGAGTGAGTGCGTGTGACCTTGTCATGTGAAAATGACTCGGGTTTTTCTTTTAAATAAAGTGAGATACAGTGCGGGGGTTCAACAAGTGCACAATAGGATTTTCGAGAGTTTTTTACGTTGAGACCAATAAAAACATATAAATGCTTTTCCCATCTGTGATTACCGATCATCAAATGCAATTATGCTATAAAATTCCTGAATGAAGCGCAGAGTTTTGTGTTTGGTGAAGCGTGATACGGCTATTCTTGTCCCTCGGTAAAATCTCGTCTTCGGCATTATTACGTGCAATTAGATCCATTATACGCGGTGCTGAAAATTTCAATACCAGTCAACCACGGGCCATGCGTAAAACTGATTACTCGAATAAATCTTCGTTATTGGCCAATCTTAGTTTTAGCGTGTATCCCATTTCCAGTTAACCACAGATCCTAAGCCTCGGGAGTCTGCTAAACGCTGTAATTTGTTCGTATTAAGACGCCTCATTTGAAGCGGTTGGGGTGCAAATTTTAACGTCAGTTATACAGTTATATTACTGAAAGTTCAGAGTAATTTCAAGCCTTGTTTTATTGGTATTTGTCAAGTTGAATAGTTACGCCAAGTTTGGGTTATTGATTAGGCAGCTAAAAGAATTACCCAGACAAAATCAGTTATTTTGTTATTGAACGTTATGGTGGTCATTATTGATTGATTAGAATCTAAGAATTTATTTTCGTAAATATACCAACTTCGACAAGATTGTGATTGTGATACTTATGACGTCTTCCAATTTAGTTGTTTAAGTTTTGACAATATGCGCATAAGGAAAATATATTGCTCCTATTCATTTGAAATAGAAATACAGTTATTGTGTGTCTGAGAAATCGAGCTGTTTGTGTCATATTATGCAAACACAGACAATGTAACGTAGGTGTCTTTGCAAGAAGAATATATACAGGAAATTGCGTTATACCCTTCAGATAATAATCGCATGTTCTGAACATAACCTATCACGGCGCATATATGATAAATTGAGTGTGCGTTTTCTGGTAGCACAGCGGGCGTTGGAATAATAATAAACTTGTCCAGCTGAACAGTACAAGATAATTAATTCATAGGTGCAGCTTTAGTGTAACTAGTACACAGAGCAGGATAATCAAAATGAGTTAAAATACACAGAGTAAGGTATACAGTATTGCGTGAATCAAATTAGGACGTATATACCTATATAATTGGATATAAATGTTGTGTGGGCTTTCTCAAAGTGAGTTCTCAGCACAGTTTGATTGATACTAGCTATATATTTCGTAATTTTTTGTAAATCAGGTAAACGTAGCAATCAATGATAGTTTACGTTGTTACACTGATTGGCCTACTTTAAATTTTGAGTCTGCCTCAGGGATTCAATCAAAAACAATTTAGTTTCACGCCCATGGAAAGTTGGTCAATTACATAGGAAAATTACTCATATTATGTTTGGTATTTGTTACCTGTTCTAGCCTTGTATGTGGATTGGAAATTGTATTTTGTCCCATAATAAATGACCTCTGTAAAAGGTACTCCCGAGGTATCTGAACCAAGATGGCGGACACCGGAACGTAGTATGTGTACCAGGTTATGGATAGGCCATAATTTTAGGTACAAATAGTAGTCACTTGGCTAGTCCCCGAACTCGTAATAGAACCAAAATAAGGAAAAACGGGAAGAAAAAAAATTTGGCTTAACCCTAATCTGGTACACATACTACGTTCCGGTGTTCGTCATCTTGGTTCACATACTTCGGGAGAACTCTGTAAAATACACATCTGTTTATTTCACGTATGACCTTTTGGTCTCACGACTTTCTCAATAAGAAAGATAAAGTGTTTGTATAGAAAATAAATCTCTAAATGGTTTCTGTCGGATTTAATACTGTCAAAATTAATTTTGATCACACGATGAACATATCACATCGTTAATAGATTAAGTATGCAACCAAAAGTAACCGGACGTAATTATATGAAACCCGTAGGCGTATGTATGCTCATTATGTGCTACAAAGACGTTAATTCAAGATATTCGAGAATACGTCCGATTATCATGGTATGTATACCTCTGGAACGTTAGTAACATGCATTTTTTACCCGGGCCATATTTAGTTGACCGAAGCGATCTCAGATATGTTTTAACTTTTCCTACATGCATCGGAAAATAGTCATCGCATTAACACTTGCTTTGAGAAAAAACTTCAGCGAGCTCTGGAAGCAATTAAAAGGGGAGAATCGCAAAGAAACGTTGCAGCACAGTTCAATATACCTAGGAGTACTTTGAAGAATAAGTTGAAACTGAGGCACATGAAAAAATTTGGTGGGCAAACAGTTTTATTTGCAGAAACTGAGAAAATTCTAGTGGAGCACTGCATAGCCGTAAGCAGTTTTGGTTTTCCGATAGCACAGGAAGATTTGAGAAGCATAGTTAAAGCTTATCTTGATGCAAAAGGAGTGACTGTCAGTAAATTTCACAGCAATTATCCTGGAGTTGAATGGGTGAAAGCATTCTTAAAAAGGCACTCAGAACTAACGGTGCGATTCGCAACGAATATAAAAAAGAAAAGGGCAGGGGTATCGAGTGAGACTATTGAAAAATATTTTGAAAACATCGAAGAAGAGTTGGATGATGTGCCCCCGGAAAATATTTGGAATTATGATGAAACAAACTTAACTGATGACCCAGGTATGAGTGACTTTGCTTTTAAGTATATACAGTACTACGGTATTCAATTTTTCAAGCGTTCTTTGTTAATCCCCTTTTTTAAAATATTTACTGCGTCAAATCAAATTTTAAACTATTTATGGTGTTATGTAAAATTTCACTTTGGCTTGCAGTCTAGTATGGATAATAAATATTACTGTATTGTGATCAAAGCATTTATTTTTAGGGCAAAAGAAGATAATATGCAAGCGCGGCTGCAAATACCCAGAAAGAATCCTGAATTCGACAAAATCTGCAATAAGTTTGATGTTCTGTGGGAATGCAGCAGGAGCAGTGATGCCACCGTATGTAGTGTACAAAGCCGAGAATCTGTGGAGCACTTGGGTTGAAGGAGGACCACCAGGGACACTATACAACAGATCAAGATCAGGCTGGTTTGATGGATTTAGTTTTCAAGATTGGTTTAATCGAATGGTGCTGCCTAGGCTGAAGCGTCAAAATGGGAAAAAAGTTCTCATTGGGGATAATTTATCCTCCCATATCAGTCCAGATGTTCTGAAATCATGTCTTGATCACAATATAGCTTTCATATGTCTACCGCCTAATTCGACGCACCTCACCCAACCCCTGGATATTGCCTATTTCAGGCCAATGAAAGTCGCTTGGAGATCGATATTGAATTCTGTGAAAAGTAAAGAAAGAAGGCAGACATCCGCAACGCTAAGAAAAGATGAGTTTCCAGCACTTTTGAACAAACTCTGCTTTGCTCTTGATGTCAGGGGAGCAAACAACCTAGTTGCAGGATTTAAAAAAGCAGGACTTGTTCCGCTCAATAAAGAAGAAGTTCTCAGTAGATTACCAAGAACTACGAGTCATGATGATTCTGATGTTATCAGTGAAAAATTTCTTGAGAAAATTTCAGATTTAAGATCTTCTGTGGCAAAGGAAACTAAAACAAGAAAGAAGGTTCAGGTAGAACCTGGGAAAAGCGCATGTGAGGAAGATGTGGCAAGACTTGAAAAAACGGTTTCAAAAAAAGCTCAAGCAAATCAAAATATTGAAGATTCAGATTCAACGGTTGAAATTGTTTCCTCAGACGATGAATGCGATGAAGCCTCTACTCCTGAATCATCCAACTCTCACTCTGTAGTTTCAACTGCTCATCACTTGCCATTTGAAGAATGCAACATTGGTGATTATGTTATAATTTCGTATGAGGGTGAATTATACCCTGGAATTGTCAAAACCCGCACAACTGACGGGTGCGAGGTGAGTGTCATGGAGAAGTCTGGATGTAACTGGAGATGGCCATTTCGGAAAGATCAGATTTTTTACGACTGGAGCAGCATAAAACGTTGTATCAGTCCCCCAGATCTCATAAATGCGCGAGGCATCTATAAAGTGTCTGAATTGAACTGAACTGACCTTTTTGCCATGATATCAACTGCTATGAATGAATACAGACATGTTTAATTTTGATTTTTGCAGTGCCATTATAAAATGGCCGATTTCGTTGAGTGTTCTAATTTTTTTGGGGTTTCTGTTTTTTTAAAAAGTCTCTGTGGGCCAAAGCCCACTGTAATAAATGTTTTCTTTGTCTCAGTATGGGTACAGCTTAATTTATGGGGAGAAATAGGCACTGGGCCAAAGTGGTACCGAAATTGCTGGTGACTTTGGCCCACCGTAAATTAAAAAAAATAATATAGAAAAAACAAATATTTTGGTTCAATGATTATGCACGACGTATACCCCCTCTAAAATGCATAGTTTGGACCCGGAATAGCAATTCATAGATTTTTAATATTCGAGATATTTTGACTGAAAGACCAAAAATGGGTCATAGTCACCCCGCTTTACGGTACGTCCGATTATCATGGTATGTATACCTCTGGAACGTTAGTAACATGCATTTTTTACCCGGGCCATATTTAGTTGACCGAAGCGATCTCAGATATGTTTTAACTTTTCCTACATGCATCGGAAAATAGTCATCGCATTAACACTTGCTTGTAACACCATGAATGCCTTAATATCAGTATTATTATATGGAAATGAGTACATGATGCCAGTCCTCGAAACTGTATAGCGCGAACACGAGTTAAAATTAAACAATTCGTATGTTAGTAATGTTAGTATGGAATTGATCTCTCCAGATTTGAACGTTTAATTGTATGTATAAACATCAATAGGTAATTCAGTAAAAGCACATGCATAAGTATGCGTTTATTGGTAAAACTTTGTCAACAGTAAAATGCCACTTATGCCCTTGCATATTTTATATAGTGTGTTTGAGAGCCCGAAATAATCCAGCACGGGCCGAGTAAAATTGAATTTAGTAACCCTTTGACACTTTAACCCCGATGTCACCGGTGCAGTTAATCAAGAAGTGTAAACTTGACAAGCTAGTTTCGCTAATTGTAATCAAGTACACGCAGTTTTGTATTAAGATGATTGCATTTGACCTATGCCAGTAGCTTCAGTTGTGTTGTATTAGTACGTGGCAAAGCTATCTATATGTTTCAATAAACTTGAAGCTACTATTGATCTCGTTGAGCATAATAATGCGAACACTTTCGTGAGAAATGTCGTGCATATTTTTTAGTTTAACTGTATAAAAAAGGCTTTGTTGTCATTCGCGCGCAGACAGATTTTCACATATGCTCATACCACAGAATTATTTGGGAAACTTGAGTTGTCTCTTTATTTTACATTTGTGTGAATTGCGATCGATGGCCGAGTTCAGCCAACTGAACTAATTTAGACAATTTGCTGACAACAGGTCATATTTTACAATAAGAAAAACGCATCGAAATTTTCATACTTTCGCATGGAAATTGCCACATACAATATAAATTGTATCCGCAGCAATACCGGAGGTAAGCACGCAATAAGCGAACTTCCCATGATGACTTCAACAATACTTTGTTTCGGTCTTAGATTGAAGAAAAAAATGCGATGACAATGCATTGCCACATTGACTTTGACTATATGTTATATTCATCTCGAAGATTGTCGTGTATTGACCATGTCTTATGCGCTAATCAGCATACAGCATTGTATTATCATTAAGTATTTTACAAATAGAGTTCAACAGCTCTTAGATATGAGGAGAAATCTCTTCAATAATGTGGGTCAATTAGATGGAGATTCGTAGATGAAATTGCATAGGTTGCACGGCTTTGAATGAGGAGATTTCATATGAAAAAAAAGTAGTCTACAAGACATGATATCGAAAGTAAATCAAACAGCTATGAAAACAAAATGCGTCCCCTTAATATTTCTATTTTGTGACTTTTGCTTAGCCTTAGATAGTAAATTTGACACGGTCTCATCTTGTTGAGATTCAGTCCGTAGTTTAACTTCGATTTTCCCTATTGGGAAAATACCTGTACCTAAAGTACCTGAAAATCTTTGTATATAAGAGGAAAGTATCACGTCTTGCAGAATGTTTATATGAGTCGCTCACCCATGGTAAGTCAGTCATTTAGACTTTTAAAAGTTATATCTCAAACCCCATGTTGGTGTGGTATTCTAAGTATGAATTTCAATATCTCTCGGGCTTTAGCTGTCGCCATGCCAAGGAGTGACAAAATGATTCAAATAAAATGGGGCAACACACAGATGTCTTTATTATACTATATTTCAATTTATAGACATATAGAAGATAAGATTCTAGGGATGATCAACTTATGCAACCATTTTACATTTTAAAGAGAATTGAAACAATGTTGTGAAGTTAGGACCATTAGAAGCGTTGATATGGATACAAATAGTTTACGACACTTTTAAATTGGGAATTTTTTTTTTAAAGATTTACATGTAAACTGAAAGACGTATAAACACGAGTCAACACTGTATAATTTGATCCAATATTTACAGATATTGTTTCACAGACATTTGTAATTGTATGTCATATTATTAGTATTATTTATTTACTTTCAATGTTAGTTTTTATTTATAATCATACTGTCGTCACCGATATGAATTCAATTTCTGAGATTCTTAACTTGATTTTTTAAAGAAATCTACCAACCGTTAACTGTACCGACATCTCTGTTGTCAACACAAACATATGTCTAGATGTATTACTGCGTCGGCGATCGCTTGCGATTCTGTCATGTTATACCAGATATTATTGGCTGTCATTCCAAGCCTCAAACCACCATCTGTTACGTTTAAAAGCACGTGATACTTTAAGAATTAATGATCCAAATATCAACTTTAGAAATGAAGTGTCTAATTTTTTCTTCAAGTCAGGCGAACCGTTACTCTGTCGTGTTTTATTTCAAGTTGAGTTTGTAGTCAAAAACAGGTTTATATGGTAATCTTATTTCTACTAGTTATTTGAATTCTGCAATGAAATTGGTATCGTCAAAAATGTTAGTTTTTCACGGGATTGATAGAAAGGAAATTAGAAAAGTATGCTGTTGACTCAGGGTGAAGTTGTGTGTTAGAAATATGAGTGAATTGTGAAGTTTGCTGTAGTTCTAATCGCATACTCTTTGGTTATATTTGTAGCGATTAGAAGCACGTTGTAACTTTTTTTCAAAAGTGTACATTTTTGCAAGGTAATCGCGCCAATGTTCATCTAAACCAGTGGTTCTTATACTTTTATGTACCATCGTCCGTCGCCTTCTTAGAGCACGCTTTACATTATTATCGCCAACTACCTCATGAATTACCCGATTTTATTGAGTATAGTAGAGTAATTGGGTCTCGGCTAAACCCCCTTTTCTACCAAATAAAATGTTGGAAATGAAATAACGTATGGTTATACTACTTCAAGAACGAGCGGGTATTTACCAGATCACTTTGCACCAAATATATATTATATAATACCTTTTTTTTTGTAAAAACTCTGGGGTTTTTGCGATATTGTCCACTTTGAGACGGTCTAAACTACAGGGCCCCAAAGTTGATCGACCGGGGGCCAAAATTCGAAGCGGAAGGATATTTGCGGCTCGGAAGAGGTAAGCGCCCGCAGGAAGCCTATACCGGTACCGGTGTCCGGTACGTATAATTGAGATGTCGATATAATTGAATTGTTACGAATATACACGTGATTTAACTGTGATAATGCCATAGCAATTGGCAGTATCTAGAACGCAAAAAGGTAAAAAAATTAAGTGTTGAATTATTTCACTTAAGTTCGACGGGCCATATTGAATCCTTATGCTGGTCGTAACCGGCCCGCAGGACGTGGTTTGGCAACCACTGGTCTAAACGGGCTGAAATTATCGAAAGAGAAGTCATTTATATACATAGACAACCGATGAACTATACATATACTTTCGAGCATATAGAGCATACATGTACCAGAAAATGATGATCACATCTGGAAAACTTTCGAAATTGATTAGTCATTACAACATGGAACCACTGACGTGAACACATAGAAACTAAAATCTAGTTTTATTGGGCGGCAAAGATGCTGTATCGAAAATGTTTTTGAAGGGAGGGTAATAAAATATAAAGAATTAATTTGACGTATTTCATAAGTTATTAGTTAGTTTCGAAGGAATCATTTTATTACGTTTTTACATCATATTATTTTAATTAAATTGAAATCTTCTATCAATTAATAAATAAATTATCATTTTTCAGATTTATATTTCTCTTATAGTTTATAAAATGTTTAGAAAACCGACGCAAAGATGGAATATGGATGTACCCAGCAACTCCTTTCAGGTGCAGTATTATTGTTTTACGAAAAATTGTCGATGCGATACAACCAGCTTTATGTTTTACTTGAGATGTGAATCACCTTTTTTTAATAATAATATGCAAATATGTTGTAATAATACCACGGTATCAATTGTGTGATTAAAACTAAATTTAAGATCTGATCAATTCAGAATATACATGATTGCCATTGACGTCAAAAACGTCATCAACTTCACAGTTTTATTTTTGCGTGTTATCAGTTTGATTAACATATTATCGCATATACCACAGGTAGATGTACCCGGTGTTATTCGACTCATTATAAAACAGAATGTTTTTTGATACATCTGCGATTCACTAAATAACTTGAATTAGACTTTATAAATAATATCGCAAGATATTGTTTTTCAAAAATATCTCAAAGAAATTTGCCAATTGTCAACGTATTCAAGTACACCGAGTGCAGATTACCGGGTTATATTGTGACTGATATCACATTACAGAGATATCCCTTACTGCAAAGATTGCTTGTAGCAATACGATCTTCTTCTGATATAGTTATTTCGTAATTCCCCCTATTTTTTCATTTTTAAAATATTGTGAATATATTCGAAAAAACTCTACAAATGTGATTTTATATTGCAAACCTTATAAAGTTTGCGTTTATTATAAAATCGAACGACAAAAATGATTTTTTTCCCTTTTTAATTGTGACCTTCCATTGATTATTTATGGTAATAAAAATAAAACCAGTTTTTCCGGAAATTATTTATAGAAAAGAAGAGTTTTTTTCTGTTCGGGTGCTATAAATAAAGTAATTATCGTACTGAATATTGCCGGCACATTTCATATTTATATATAAATGATAATCCTCATTCAATATAAATGTTACGTACATCCGAAATGTAATTTTACATTTTTCGTTTCCCAAATTTAAAGTTCAAATTCAGATTTTATGACGCAATAGGCATTTTTGGCTAAACGATTATATCTGATAAAATAAGTCTAAATAATAATAAATCAGAATTCAAATTTTTAGTAGCTAAGTGATCTGAACTGATTCTAGGTCCGTAAAACTGTAATATTCAAATATGTAAAGCTATATGTATTTTGGTTCTTTTTACCTAAAATTACGTACTAGAGTTCTTGCTTGGAGTCCAATCAACTCACGCTTCCTATTATATAGTGTAATTTGATCGAATTGTTGTTTTTTATTTTATTTTGAGACTACGTGATTCACAAAAAAATTAAAGCTATATTAATTAATCTTTCCCGTTTAAAAAGTTCGTTCATACAGACACGACGTATAGCTGAAGACTTGAATGTATCTTCGATTCGTGATTCACTGTTAATTCCTATGTTTAACGTTAGCAATCTCTGATTGGGCACGGACATCACGAATTAACAAAAATTCCACATTTACGCGATTTGATTTGAGTTATTTTTATCAAATCTCTTTCATTGAATGATTATAATAACGTCTGTCTTATGTATTTTTGTGCAGCATCGCAATTCCGTCCTCAACTTTACGAGGAAAGGTTCGATGAGATTGCACGGATTCCAACAGAAAAGAGCTTTAAAACGCGGAGGACTGAAAAGTATCGAGATGTTGTACCTAAAATTCGCAGGCCAAGGAGATGTGCAGGTTTGCAAATATTCTAGTGTTTGAGTTGAAAAAATTTCGAGAATGTCGCAAGATTAGAATCACTATTTAATAAATTCTGTTGATGCTCATTAAACAGCTGCTTTCAAAGTTGCATCTATAGCGGAAATTTTTGTGAAATATTAGAAAAATTGCTTCGTCAAAGAAAAGTTTCCTAAAACGTACCGGTAACGAATAATGTAAATTAATGTTATTTTGTCGACAATACAGAATCGTTTTCTAAATAGAAACTAATTTATTCTGCAGAAACCATGATGAAATATTAGAACAATTGCTTGATCAAAGGAAAGTTTCATAAAAAGTACCGGTAACCAACACTGTTACTTTGGCGACAATACGGAAACGTTTTCCAAATATTTTTCGTCTGCTATCGTTTGTAAGTGGACGATGTCCATGGGTATATCCGACAATCCTTCATCACACAAAAAAGTAATTGTTATTTCTCTTTTCAGATGGTTGAAAAATTGTTCAAAAAATACTCAGAAGAACAGCTGAACAGAAATTGTACCGACTTTTTCGATCGAACGGCTCTTGTTCTTGCAATCACAAACCGACACGAAGATATGATAAAATGCTTGCTAAGCAATGGAGTAAGTTTTGGAATTGTTTTGTAAATGAATATATTTTTGGCATAATAATATCAAGGTTTTGAATAATTCAGAATTTTTCATCTCGGTGTTCAGATTACCCGGCAAGTCAAAATCCATGCAGGATAATTGATTAATTTCATGTTGTTCCATTGTCTAATATATATATAGAAATTGTTCTATTTCAAACGAAAGAAGCTTATTGAGTTCTAAAAATAAAATATTAACAGGAAATATGCGCAATTGCAAAGCACTATACTATCTCTGCGTCCCTGATTTTTGAATGCAAAAGCAACTTTAATGTTCGGTATTTTGGATGTGTTGCATTAGATCCATTTTTATTCCCCACATTAGTGATTATTTTGGTCGCACACACAGAATTAATCCTAATATATGAGATAAAAGATTCATAATTAATTGGCAATTAAGAGTTTATTAGGCCACGCATAACGTAGTAATATAAACTAATTTTAATTGTGATCCCTCCAACATGTTGCCACAGGCAACAACAACAAAACAGTGACTATCGGCATTATTTACCCCTAGCCACGTCGTTGTGACAAGAATAAATATCAACAAAACTTAAAACAATTTGATTAAATATTCTTACAAAATATAACAAAAAGTCTTGTTTTCATGAAATCGTTTTAGTCAAAATGCAAATTCGACAAATCGTTGAAATTCAGTGAAGAATTTGTCATCCACGTTTGAGAAGCTGTCAGTCTTAACACGGTGTTATTTAAACGCAATGTTTTAACTAAAAGGAGCTGGCAAAATTTACTTATTTTTTAAACTGAATTTATAATTCAAGGTTGATCTTACGGAGTCACTGTTTTACGCCATAGAAAATGAGTTTACGGAGGCGGTGGAATACATACTAAACAGTGACACTGCCAAACAGACAAGACATGTTGAAATGTTGGTGACAAGCGAAGAATCAATCTTCCCACGCTTCCTGAGTCCTATCATGCTGGCGGCCCACAAGAATAACTATGATATATTGGAGATTCTGTACAAGTATGTAACTTAGATAAGTTTATAACCATATTGTGCTTGTTTTTTTGTACCCCCGTAATGTGTGTACCAGGTCAGGGTTACCCGGTTAGGCCATAATTTGATTCCGATTTTCCTTATTTTAGTTCTATTACGAGTTCGGGGACTGACTATGTTAGCCAAGTGAATTGAATATATCCATATATATATTCATATCCATAGGTTTCAGTCCCTTTACACAACTTGATATAAAGAGGGCGAACAAATTAAGTTACCTCCATATTGTTACACACACTTCTGGAGCGCCTTTTTTTTATGAATAAACACTAGTATTGGTTCATAGTTGTGAAAAAGAAACGATTTTTCGCTATCATAAAATCGCCCCCCAAAAAACAATTGAGCATTCTCTTTTGCCGCTGGCAAAATATCATGAATTAGTATTAATTACATGACACGGACTTGAAATGTAAACCTCCACATCTGCGTAGGTATTCATTATCATGCAATGTCAGACTTCTATGCATATACGGTATGTATGTACGTGCCCACTTGTATGACTAAATTGCATGAACGTGCAAACACTTGTGTGGGAATGATGTTAAAATAGCATTACAAAGGTCACCATACCGTTATAAATCAGTGCCAAAATTCTCAATTCTATTCTACCTAATTTAGGTGTCTTGCTGTTCTCGGTAGTTATTCTTGCGTAACCCAAACTGAAACTTGAGAATTATCGTTCTTTTAATCACGCTATATATTTGGCCATTTATAAAAATAGATTGCTGTATCAGAATATCAGGGAATAACCTCGTCATCGAAGCAATACCATGGGGGAGGAAACAAGAAATAAGCGACCCCTCAATGTGTTCTTAGATTGCATAGGTTTGTTTACATTACACTGTCATGAAATGACATATCCAACATTAAAGCGCGTGTATCGTGTATATGGTGATCTAACACCGCTTTCTGCCTGCGGCTGATATCTTCCAATTTAAATTCTTAATATGCATTTTTTGGCAACCTTCATCTTACGACTTGGTTCGGTTAGTCCCCATACATTTTATTAAATTAGAAGGGTGATAATCAAGTCAACATTATATTACAACTGAATCCATTGATATAAAACAAAATTGGCCTACACCTATTGCTGACATTTCATATGCTCCTAGTCTGTTATTGTTATTTTAACTTTGCAGTTTTTCTTTTTCCTCACTGAAGTAGCAAAATTGGTCCCACTCAGGAAAATTTCTGAGTCATTATCCATATTGCAAATACGTTTTTGTTTTTTTCAGCCACGGACATCGTCTTCGTGATTTGTCGGCGAGTGCAAGTAACAAATGGGATGAGATCCGACTAAGGTGGCTGTACTATAAAGGTATTTGTATGAAAATAATTTATGAATCAATATTGCCAATCAAATTCCACGTCCTTACCCTTAATCATGAATAATTGGTGTGAGATATATTACAAGTGGACATTTGAACTGTTTAACAAATAAATTGTTTATAATGTTAATGTATAACAGAACCTTTGCTTCGTATAACAAGTATATTGTGGAATGAAATTCTGCTCGTTTTTCCAATAAACCCATCGTCATTTTCAATTAAACATCCTTATAGCATACGAAACAGTATCGACCGTGCAATATATTTATATATATATATATATCATAATTCAATTATTACAAACACATATTACATGCAGACATAGACTGAATGCAGAGCAAAATTCCGTACATTTCAATGTTAAATAGAACAGATATTTTGTTAAATTTCAACAAATTCTTGAAAACATCGCTTGTCAAATTAGGAGTGGCTTTAAAACCTCTTTGTAGTGAACAAAATGATAGTTTAATAATCGGAACTTTGGCCGTAGATTAACTGCACGGTTGATGGGAGAGATATCATATATATCTCGTCATTCGCCCTTTTAAACCTTGGTTAATAAGGTAGTGAAGAAACAAGGCTTTTCGTTCTTAGTTAAAGATTTCTGCCAATTGTTTCGGGGCAAAGTAACAAATATTCCGCTCAAAGTTTCTTTTATTGAACTGATATACCGAAGTGTAATCTTATACACCAAATCATTTGTTAGGCAGAAACTATCACCTTTCATAGTATCTCAAATCTGACGGTGTTTATTCAGATACCGACTATTCCCATGTTGATTAATTAACGTTGCACTATGTGGTGTGTTTTGTACATACTCCATCATCTCGAGGGACATAAAGGAATTGCATTTTAATGAATGACACTAAGAAAGGATCAGCCTCGATATTTCTTTGTTATTAAAATTGAATAAAACTTAAAAGCGTTTCTTTTTATAAGTATATATATTAGTCTTCTGCCTGTCAACAGTTAGTAATGAATCCTAGAAAATTTTCACCAAACAATTACAGTTTTTGATAAGTGTACAACTTCCAGTGCAAAAAACATTTCCAATTCTTATTCCTAAATACAGTTTTTTTTTCGAATAAAAAATTTCTCTTGTGTTTCAGCGCGGGCGAGTCAAGCTTACATGATAATAATGTACAATAAAGAAAAAGTCGATCCACTGAACGAAGCTATCGAGTTTTACGGAACACTAAAAAGAGAAGGATTAAAAGCGAGGGAGGTCAGTTAAAAAATGATACCCTGCCCTTATTCAGTAGGATCAGTAAGGCTAGGTTCATTGCATATACGGCAGTGAGCATATTCTTGGGCAATTTAATCAAACGAATTTTTATTAAGTATAAAAGTCCATTTTGAATTTTGCAAAATATTTTATATATTTTTGACATCCATAGAAGTAAAGATGTTCTTTGCATATTGTGCCATTGCGCCAATGTCTTTTATAACGACAATATTATTAAGTTATTTGGTCAGACAAAGGAAGTCTGTCTGTAAATACCAACAGCCAAGGTTTTATATATAACTAACAGCTGGTGGTAATTGTATTTGAGTCAGTGCATTTTGTGTTTTTAAATAGCATTCTGTTTCTTGTTTTCAAACATATGAGATGTGATATTGAATAGGTAAATAGTACTATTTTTATGTACTTATTGACGTATTGTAGTTGGGGTCTTAAATTAATTATGTAAATAATTGATTCCGACATTGTTAGTGTATTTTTAAAGCTAACTACTTTGAATATAATTTCACCGTGTGAATTATGTTTGAATTGTATTGTATGTATAACATTTATTTTCCTTATCGTGGTTTCTCGCTTTTGACGGTATTTGAAGCTTGTTCTAGGTACACTATATACCACTAACTACGACTAGACATATGTTACCAACCACCGTTTGACTGGCGTCCTCCGTGGAGGGTCCATTGGTCCTTCATGCACGACAGCGGGTTTGATTTTTAGCAGCCACAATGTTTTATGTGAACACTTGTAATTTTTCAAATGTTTCCGGGGTAAATTGAAAATGGCGATAAATGTTCCGAGTACATTTTACTCATATAATAATCCCATTTCATGCATTTTGCTGCATTGTATGGAAAACACGTAACCTCGTCAGAATTCTCAATAAACAATAAAACACAAATGTGCAAGATATTGAAAATTCAAAATTGAATGTTTCATATTTCCGTAATATAAAGAAAACTGATTTGAATTTTTTTTTTTTGAAAAACTTTCCAGGTACGGGAAAGCTATAGGGAACTTGCGCAACAATGCGAAGAATTTGCCATGGCATTATTAGACCAGGTACGTCTTTTTTATATACGACAAAACATATATACTTCATCATACCAGTCAAAAATATGTGACACCATTGGTATTCGCAGAGCCTTTTTACTCTATCAAAAAAGAAAATCGTAAAAGACTAGATACTGAATTATGATTGGTGCTATTCGACGCGCTATATTCTCTGTATTATGGCACTCAGCTGAACAAGAAAACGTTATTAAATTACGAAATTACGAAAATAAACGTTAGTGATGATAGCATAACTAATTTAAGCGATGCAAACCTAATCTATTCAACCAATCACTCAATAGTAGTATATTTAGAGGAGATAATTTATATGACATGTTAATTATCAAAAGTTTCATCCATCGCCAGTTAATTTAACAACTATCTCATATCCTGATGATCTTAATGATGGATATTTTGTGCCGTTATTCTTCTCTCGCTTTATGATGTGTTTACGAAAACATCTAGGTCGTATTGGAGGATGGTAAGTGTATCTTGAGAATGGGAATAAATAAGATATGAATTCCCAAAACCGAATACTTTAGTATTTCTAATAGATTCTAAACCAAGCTTTTCGAATTCTTCAAGGCAAATTTTTGTCCATCATAAATAATAAGTGCTTAAAAAGACATATATTCAAATAAAAATATTCTGAGTTATTCATAAAATCAAAAATTTGCTAAATCGAATATAATCAATTTCAAATGTATTCGAATATTCGATTCGTTTTGGACATCGCTGAAATAAGTCTATTTTCCTTTAATTATTTGTCGTTTTAAGCGTTTTACTTCAAAAATCAATCAATAAATATTCGGCATAACTAAATTTAATGTCTATGAAGTTGCGAGTGTTCCTTAAAACTTCTCTGATGAACATAAATAGAACCTATTTGATATTCTATATTCAGAAAAAGGATGTAAATAATTTGATATATTTACACTTTTGTATTAAGATACGAACTGCTCAAGAGTTGGCAGATCTTCTTCGATTCACGTTGGTTGGTCGGGAACATGGAAATACCAATCAACTCGCTTTTAGTACCTTACCTATGTTGATTGCCCCTAACCCAACTTCTGAAGAAACACTTGAAATACATGCGATTTTTGGCAGTAGAGACACAGTAAGTGATTTACCCAGCGAATCAAATTGGCCAAGTCCATCTCATCAATCTCCATCAATAAGAATAAATGATAACAATATGTTGAATCGCCAGGCGGAAAGAATAAAAAGTAGACCAGCTGAGTTATCACCAGATGCAGCCGATGTGATTCGTAGTATTACAAATACGGCATTGACGACCGCCCCCAAGTCAGAACGTCATATGCTTCCTGCTGTAGATAATCTGGCAAATAACGAGCCCGACCAGAGAAGAATATCTCAGGTTATGGATTATGTTCCAGAAGAAAGACATAGAACGTTAGGAATACGTAGACCGATTTCGGCATCTCTCAACGTGGAATATGCAAGACCAATTCACTTTTTGAAGCCGATAGAAAAAGCTGTTGACAACGGTATGGTGCGTCTCGTAACTTGCGAAAACTCGCAGCTTGCCTTGACTTATCTCAAGGATGGTATTTTATTTCGAGATGCGACACCAAAAAAATGTCTTCTTCAGAAATGTTTAGTTGGAATCATGTTTCCTATAATCAGCATAGCATTCTACTTCTTTCCAAACACTAGATTGGGTTTGGTTGCCAGGAATCCGACCGCCAAATTATGGATGGAGGTGAGAAAACATTTCATTTTCGTAAAGATTTCAAATTCAAATTCGTTCAAGGTCCAATGATCAACACTGTATCCAATGTAAGCTGCACAGTATTTTGCTAACTGATCATTAAATTGAAATGAAGTCACTTCACTGTCTCAACAATTCACATCGGTTGGGCTTTTGGTGAACGAACGCCGGGTTTATCAGAAAGATGGCGGAAACTATCCTGACCTAACTCGGGGGCACAAAAATATAAAAGTATTGTTCAAAATATCGAGCCCCGTAAGACCCAACAATTTTTCAAAACGACAACAATAATTTTAAAATATAACCCATATGTACATTTCCTTTTTGATAACTGTATTTTTTTTTGTCTTTTACAGGTTGCTTCTGATATTTATCTCATAATTCTTCTCATCATTAATTTGATATTATCACAAGTTCGTGTTATAAAAGTTGACGATTTTTCACCAATTCTTATCATTGCTTACTTTTGGATGCCGGGGAAATTCATAAACCTCATGTTTCTCACTTATCATCAAGGGAAAAGGGTTTTATTTTCAATTTGGAATTGGAACGATTTTGCAACTATATCACTTTATACTGTATTTATGATTTTACGGATATATGGATACACCATATCAGATTCCACTGTAAGTCAACCTTTCACCGCATCAAAATTTTTGCTATTTCATTAAAATATATTATGACGGTACAATGCCAAGAAATGTGTTTTTTTGTTTTGTTACTGTTATGTTTTCTGTGCTTCATTTGCGTTGCGTTTATACTTTTGCATGTACTTTATACTTTGTTTATTTTAAATCCAATTTTGGCCCGTTCAAGGAAATGCTGTTTATTTTCCTCAGTGATGACATTTTGCAACAATCACTTTTTGGGCTGTTTTTCTACAAATATTTTTAAATTCGAGTTAAGTTCCAAGTCGATTAATTACCTACGAACTTCTGGTGACTTGTTTTATAGTTAACACTGGAAAATTGGAGTGCGATTGGTCCAGAAGTTGCGGAGGAAGTGATTTTATTTTTAAATTTCAACAAGAACAACGATTATAACTAAGAAAGATGAAACCTGGTTCCAGGATTATCTTGAGTAAACCAGTATAAAATTTAAATACTAAATCATTATTTTAATTGGCAGGACATTTCAAAGATGCAATGGGACCCTATACCACTGTCCGACATGATGATCAGCGCAGTATATATTCTTGTGTTTCTCCGACCTCTGGAAATACTTCGAGTGAACCGAACATTTGGCCCATTACAGGTTAATTTTAAACTATACGTTCAAAATTTTGGTAAAAAAAAATAATATAATATTTACAAGAGAACGATGCTATAATATATGGGCACGAAACACAAATAACTAATATTGTCACGCAATATGAAACGCAGGGATGTTCAAAGCGAATCGAATATTCGAATTCATTTGAAATTCATTATATTTGAAGTAAATCTTTGAATATAGAAAAAATTTAGCACATTCTTATTAAAAATGTAGGGATTTCGAGCCGCCAGACAAGCGGATCTAAACATATGATATCTTAGCTGGTAACAAACAACCCAGAGAAAACAATGACATTTATATTTATGTCGTTTTAGGGTCCTCCTGAAGTATGCGCACCAAAATGGCGCACAACCTGAACTCAGGTTGTGTACCGGGTTAGTGTTCAGGTTATGCGACATCCTGGTGCGCATACTTCAGGAGCACCCGTTATGGCCATCCCTGATCGAAAGTATTGTACCGAAGGTATATACGCAAAATATATGGTATTATGTTTTGTTTCACCCATTTTTAATTTTTTGTCGGCACATTATTTGATAGCTTTTCTCCGAGTGAAAAGTTTTGAAGTGTTGCATTATATTACGCAAATATATGTTATTCTTTTCTGCTCCGGCCATTTCAATTTTTTTGCCGGTCCGCGAGTACATTTAAATAGAAGGGTAGAGTAGAAAGGCCAGAGTTCCAGTTGGGAACCACTGGATCAGTCCATCAGTTGCAAACCACAGGTCCACTTCGCGCCGAGTAGTTTGTTGATTTATGTATGTGGTAAATGTAATATACATGGGGGCTATTTAAGCCAAATTTGTCGATGGACATGGGAGTAGACCTGGGGATCCTTTTGTTATTTTAAAATGTTTTAAATTACGAATATATATGTGCAACAGGTATCTGTTGACCGGATGATCGGAGACGTTTCCAAGTTTTTTCTCTTGTTCTTGGTTATTTGGTTTGCGTTTTCAAGTGGGATCAACACCCTCTACTGGAGGTACAGCGGTCAGTCAGACGGATTTCACAATTGCACTATGGACAAAAAGAACAAGGTATGGAGACATGTCGTATAGTTGTATCTGATTTTATTTGTTATATATCCAATAAGATTTATATTGAGTTGGTAAAAGTTTCTTCTTACATCTAGTTTTAACGAATGTAACAGTTTCATTTTGTTCGCAGAGCAGCAAAGAAGACATACATTGCTGTTTTTCGGAGGAAGGCACTCAGAAATTCACCACTATCGTCAGTTCTTTGCAAGTTTGCTTCTGGTCAATATTTGGATACAGCGATGATTACAACAGGTACAAAACATTGTATACAAATTTAATTTCCAGACAGTATTCTTAATGCACATTCTCTGTAGATAGCACAGGCTCAGCAGTTGCTAATATAAATGGGTATATTAAGTCATCTTTTAATAACTTTTTTAAAAGTTAATCCAAAAGTATTTTTTTTATCACCTTGTGGGAACGGGATATTTTACAGAGTTCCATACCAAAGAGGTATTATACGCCTAGTCATGTCATTCAATATAGCCTTAATAATTCAGGTTGAAAAGAGTTTATGTTACAAAACATTTGATCACGAAGTGAGACACATATTTTGATTTCTTTTTTCTCAAGGTGGTTCAATTTAACGTGCGCAGATGAATCAGCAAAAAAAGAAATTACTGCAGTATTTGGAGAAACTGTTTTTGCTTTATATCATATCGGAACCGTTCTTATCCTGGTTAATATGTTGATCGCCATTATGAGTGGAACGCTGCAGAAAACGATAGACGATAGCGATATTCAATGGCAGTTTCATCGCACGAGGGTAAAACTTTAAAAGAAGTAGATTTGTTGATTCAGTGAATCGCGAAATTTTAATGACGTTGTCGTTTTTTTACTCCTAATCTTTGCTTATTTATTGCTTATTACTTTACCATCTTTAAAAAAAATTAACTATTTACTAATTAAAAAATTTACTTCAAAAAAAAATTATTTACTATTATTTGAACGTATGTGGTTTGCAAAACCCACGTGGCACCATGGTTGTTTTGATTTCAAAATACTGAAATAATTTACAAACTGCATGGCATAAAAAATGGGCATTTTACAGGTATGGATTCGTTTCATTAGGACAGGCACCATGGTTGTTTTGATTTCAAAATACTGAAATAATTTACAAACTGCATGGCATAAAAAATAGGCATTTTACAGGTATGGATTCGTTTCATTAGGACAGGATTCTACCGACCTCCACCGATGAACTTGATTCCAAGACCGAAGGAGTTTGTCTATCTCGGCTCGTTCATAATAAAAGGCTTCCGAAAGCTGTGTAGGTATGTCTTTATTCCTAATAGGCTTACAGTTTTAATCGTAATACGAATGATGATGCTTTAAAATTCGACGATGTGCCTCAGATTATCTTCGAAAATTTTTGAGGAAATATCTGAAAGAAAAAGTTTCTGTCATTGAAAAAAAAATGATAATATTATATGATTACTTATTAATGGTTGCAGTGATGTCCCTACTAGAGATGTACCGATGTATCGGGTATCGGAATCGACAATATCTGCCAATTTTTCGGTATCGGTGGAGTATCGGTATCGGCTAAATTTAGACCGATATTTCCGATATATATTCAGCTTCTCCATATTATCCAAGGTGTTTTAAAAAAATGGGTTAGAATACTGATGTTTAAATTATTTTTTGCTTGGATAGATATGAGCTTGGTGAACTATGAGCCATGTACGTCCCCCCCCCCCCCCCCCCCCCCCGGATTTTCCGATGTGTAAAATATAAAATACAACGTTATATTGGCACAAAATCCCGCGCACGTAACTCAATGTATCAGTTTCATATACGATAAGCAGGCTAAACATTTATTTATTTTACCACCAACAGTATAGCGAAATTCTATTAGTTTTCTAATTGGACACCAAGATTACTAGTGCCAGTGCTCAATGCTTTGAATCAATTAACGCATTTGGATCCCAAACATCAATTTCTCTCTCTATATATATATATATATATATATATGATATTTCTCTTATTTGATCCAAAATTATGTGCACTATTAATGATGCTCGAAGACTATTGTTTTAACTCGTCTGCCCTACACACTTAAGTAATAATTACATAGAATCGGAATATCGGTATCGGCAATATCGGCCTTTCCAAATATCGACGCATTGATATCGGTATCGGCGTTTTTAGCTGATATCGGATCGGTATCGACGACAAAAATGGTATCGGTACATCTCGAGTCCCTGCATCCCTCCAACAGGTGGTGCACAAGGGTTGCTCCGCCATCAAAGTCCACAAATTTGCAACAAATAACTGTGTTGAAAGAGGTATGAAAAGTAAAACTGAGAGTGTGTCAATAACATACATACAACATCACTCCACAAAATGATGCCATGGTGAGTTTTTGATGTACCATTATGTCCCAAACTTTTATTTATGTCGGCATTTTTTGCAATTTCTTAGGTGTATTCTGTGCAGAAGTGCAGAAGATGTTAGCAGACATCCTGAACGGGCATATCAAGCGAATATACCAATGAATCAATACGGAAGACGAAACGACGCTAAGGCGCATCACAAAGCAGGAATGATACAGAAAAATGGCAGTCCAGAGTCTCATACAAGTGGAGAAGGATACAAAGAGCATTGGTCACCTGGTAGTGCAGCGACAGAAGAAAAGTATTCTCGCTATGACGTCACCCTTAGAAAATGCGTCAGAAGATACCTGAAAGCGAATGGAGTTCATCCAGATGATCAACAAACAGCAAATATATGAGACGGTACAACCATTCTATTTGCGCCTATTTCCACTAATCATGTACTTTTGAAGGTCATGATGATGAGACTGAATACACATCACGGTGGGAGTCGGGACATGTTGACACCACAGCTTTCAACAAAGGAGTAAAGCAAATTTGCGAGACGAAGCGTTTGACCGCCCGTCACGTACAAGCACTAAAAGAAAAGTAACGGGCAAAAATATAAATTTCGAACGAAAAGAGTATATAAATATATTGGCTCAAATCTTAGTCCTAATTCCAAAATGGAATTTATTCTCACTGGACAGCTTATTTACTATAGTAGGAATTCCATGTTTTCCTATTATCAGATTTCCAATGTATAATAATATTTTTGTATTTCGTTAGCATTTGTAAAAATGAACTTATCTGTAATTGATTTCTATCTTTGTTGCACTGTTTTTTTTCACTTCTTGTCATATAAATGAGTGGAGTATATTTATAAATAAATTGGGTTTATTAATTTTTGGGGTACTCCCGAAGTATGTGAACCAAGATGGCGGACACCGGAACGTAGTATGTGTACCAGGCCATTTTTTATTCCAATTTTCCTTATTTTAGTTCTATTACGAGTTTGGGGACTAGCCAAGTGACTTCCGTAGTATTTGTACCGGAAATTATGGTCTAACCCTAACCTGGTACACATACGACGTACCGGTGTCCGCCATCTTGCTTCACATGCTACGGGAGTACCGATTTATACTTGAGTATATTGCCTTTCTCCCATTTTCTTTGTAGCTACGAGCTATTGTCAAATACACCAGTCAACAAATGAAATTTTAAGTCTTTCCATCTCCAAGGTCCGTTGCATGCTCTATACATGGCCTGTTTCTGAAAAATGTTTACATTTTTCGTGGGATTGCAATCTAGCTAAAAGCTATTGGTTTGCTTTGTTATAACTTACAAGCCTATTTTTACTAAATGTTTTCCTTGTCCACAGTAGCCACATATTATGTATACAAAATAATCAATCAATGACGGTAAAACCCTTATGTAGCAGACCCTGCGTTGCTTTCATAATTTTGCACTTTTTGACTGAGATCAGAACGATCGTTTTGTCAACAAATTTTCTGCGCTATTCAACGTCTCAGGATTTACTTTGTTTCCCATCTTATACTGTATCTTTGTTTCCTTGATATTTTATGGGTTCTGTCGCCTATGTTAACCAGCATGATTTTGTTGTTTTTTTTCTTTGAGATTGCACTTTTAATAAAAATATCTACTGAAGTTTCATATTGTCGAGATTACGCTCCAGAAAACATACATTAGTTGTATTGTAGGAATGTGTTTCCAATGGTAGTTGTTGATGAGGTTGATGAGATGGCGAGGTTTTTAGATTTTGCGAATGTAGGATAATGAATATCACGTAAATAATGACCAAACTATCTTGGACGGCACGAGAAGGTTTTTTTGTTTATCTTACATTTCATTTTATGACGTATGATCGTTGACCCTATCAAAAAACAACCATTTTCAGTATTAGAATTATCCTACCAATGCTGAAAGTGGTTGGGTAACGGTATTAGCAGAGAGTGTTTGTAAAACGTTCGTCAACCTTATGCGCTTTTTCGGGAATTATGGTTACTGACGCCACTGGAGGGACTAACCTGGCAATCTCCTGCTCCCAAATTTCGCCTCTGTAAATCTACTTCTTTTGAATCCACAAAAAAATTACGATTGCCTACCAAGGGTAGGCCCTATACATAAAAAGTTGTCGACGTTGTGATGTCGTTGTTGGTAATGTTAAAGATGCATTTGGCAGCTGTTTCACAAAAAGTTAAGACGACTGACAGTAATGGTTGACAAGTAATGGTCACTTAGAATGAAGTTTGAATGATATAAACTGTTGTTGTTGTACCAAATATGAATATTTCGAATGTATCTGTTCAAGTCTTTGAATCAATGTCAAGAAATTTTAAAATGATTAATCATATTTTAAACCCCTTCCTATTTTCTATGCGTATATTACGCCGGTAAAAATAAAAGCGGTCAGTTCACAAGTCACAATTACAAATATGGTCAAAATAATTTTGATAGCAATCATTAAGCTTATTTATAGTAGTAGCCAGAAGGTAAGTGTCCACTGAGTAAAAACCCACGGTATATTTCTCAATGGACCTTTCCCCGACCTTTGACCCCCAAAAAATTCTTCTTATACTTTACCATTGCAAAATTTCCAGGGCTATTTTAAGAGTACTTTTGCGAGTTGGCGCCTGTGAAATGAGGTATGTGTTTTGAACCATCATTATGATTGATCGCATACAACAATCTGTTTTTTAAAAGTACCGGTAAATAATTTTAGCCTAGTCTATCACAGCTATTTCCACACTGATTTTTAATTACTACAATTAAAAAATTAAAACTTCTAGGAAAAAGAGAGTGATCATTGAAATATCTGATTTATATTTAAGTTTCCGAAACACAACTGAAAACTAACGAATAGAGTTCAAAAACGCAAAAACGAGGTAATGTTTACGACCACGCTTGAAAATCTGTCTGAGTGAGAAAGGGGTCTGAGCGGATGCGAAAAGGGAGCATTGTTACGTCACTTTTTGCATTTTGCTGATTGGCCAATGTCACGAAGTAAACAAGGAATACGATGCTCGGGGAAAGGTCCCATCCGATCACCCAAAAAATTAGCAGGTAATAGGAACGCTCAATACTGACACCACATGGCGCCGTCGAGTTTTTCGTCTCTTTTCAATTGAATTGTTGAAATTGAGACTCTTCAGAGACAGAGAAACGCGAGTTCTGGAGTTAGTGAAAGTGTACTGTTTTGCCTTAAGAGTCTCGCAGTGTTCGAGGCCGCGAAATACTTAACAAGCATGTCTGTCTCACAAAGGAATTACAACATAAAGCAGGAAATATATATTCGAATAGCTGATGACGAAAATGAGGAGGCTATAGAAATTCCAGGAGAATCAGATGGCACCATGTTATTGTCCAGCGTTACAGGTAAAAGATAAAAATACCCGTAATGCCGTTATTTAAAAAGATAAAGCAGTAGCTACTGGATAAATATTTTGTTAAGTACGGTACTCAATTCAGTAGGAAATCACTGACCGATAAATGGGCACAAACGCTTGCAGCGTTCGCTTTAAACTTTTCTCTAGTTTTTGCTCATTTTCGCGATCTTTTCGTCGCCCTTGTCTTTGTTTTTTATTTTGTGTTCAGTATTTTCATGTTGTAGACGGAAGATAAAAAAAATATAAAAACATATAATATGTCCACAAAGTGCTGAAGTGACTAACTTCCAAGCCTGTCAGCCTTAATTACTCAATTACCGGTACCGGTACATTAATGAAATCACGGTACTGGTACATTACCGTACTGGTAACACTAAACTCAACTCGGGTCTCGTGTAGTTTTGTGCCTATTCTAGTCTACTTCTGTACTTCTAGTGGGTGTATCATAATAATTTTTTTCACATGTCAATCCTAACTCCCATCTGACTACACCATCCAAAACCATCGATACAACAGTGTTTTCCAAATTTGTCTTTTTTTATTTAACTTGATGTTTTTCTCTATTTTTCAGCCCAATTTGCTGGGGCATGCGGTCTCAAGTATAGAAATGCTGACACTCAAACAATGAGGGGAGTGCGATTGGTTGAAGGTACATTTCATCCACCAGATGGTTCGTGGGGATCACAACTTTATATTGTTGTTTATCCAAAAGGTAAATTAATAGAAAAGGGAATTCAGTATTCTGTGTAGTACCAAGACTGATAGCTAACTTGTGCTATAAACTTTTTCTGTTAAAATTACTACTTACTGAATCATGCATTGAACTGCTAGCCATGGGGTTCAAGAAGATAATTAATATTTTCATTGCTTACCTTTTTTTAGTCCTATTTGACAGCCCGTAGCATGTATATTGTCACTAGAACATTGCTAGAAATACAATTATGCGAGCCATTTAATATGATATAGGAAAAGTTGGTAGTATACTGTTTTATGTTATATTGATATAGTTTCAATTTTCAGTTGTTTGCATGTTCAATCAATACTATACTATTCTGGTTGGCAAGACCTGATTTATTGCACAAAATACACCCCTTTGCTCTTATTTCAATTACCAATGCCATGTTGGTTTCACTTTTTAGACATCTTGTTCAATTTTCCAGTGCACAATAATTTTTGTGTAAATTTTCTTCAATTTGGCAGATAATAAACGAAAGATGGATGACACTGAAAGTCAAGGAATCCGCAGTAAAAGGCCGGCACAAAAATGCTCGGACCTAATTGTTATGGGATTACCTTGGGAAACATCTGTCAACGATTTAAAACAATATTTTGGACAATTTGGTGAATTAGTTTGGCACAAGTGGGTATTTTTTTCAGTAAAATTTTTGTTTGAGTGTATGATGTGTTATGTACATATACTAGTATATTTCATATAGGTACTGCTGATGCTTGTATATTTCTATTTGTATGATGTTTTTGTACTGCAGATTATCTGTTTATATTTTGCGATTGATTATTTTGTTTCGGTATATGAGTGCTATTATGAGTCCTAATGAAATATTTGCAGTATTTTTTTTCAGAAATATTTTTTACAGAATATGTGTGTCTTTTTTGTTTTGTAACTAGGATATAGTTGCATTTCTGAAGTATTTTTAACATTTTGGTAAATTGTCTGCAGCTTTATTCCAACTGGGCATTGTGTGATGAAGACATTGTTTGTAGGTTAGTTTGTATGGAAGAGTCAGAAATATGTTCTTGCTGGATTGATATAACAGTATATGAGGCAATTTGATTTGCTAAATTGACTGAAGATATGATTAGAGCTGAACATTATTCGAATCGGTTCAGCAGAAAATGTTGTATCCCTGTCATCTTTTTTATTTTATTGGCCACACAAAGGTCGAGGTGGATTCCTCAATTTTTTTCTTGAAGCTATAGTTTTATGATGTAATTTGGACATATGACTCTTTTCTTTTTGTGAGATATTGATGAAACATTTTTCTCATTGTGTGTGAACTTTCAGCAAAATGTCTGAGTGATGGATTTCACGTTTTCAGTAATTTATGTGTTTGGAGGACCCATCACAATAAAAAGTCACATACATTCATATATCTTCCAAGTTCCGAATATTCAAGAAAATATTCGTTCGTATCTGAAATCATCACGAAAATGCCCAGCCCTAGATATGATTGATCATCACAAGACTTTTTCAGCATTCATGTTGTGATAACAAACAATGAAATTTATGAGTAAAATATAGAACGGATGCCAGTTAGTGTATATCTGAAGCAACCAGAAGTGTGCCCTGTATGATGATCATTCAAAAGTTGTTTGTAGAGATTTGAGCCATCTTTCTCATACAAAATTTTCATCCTACAACTTAGAGTTTCATGGGATTGTCTGGGATCTTGACTGCACCTGATTTTTTTGAAATAGCATTTATCATAGAATACCAAAGCCTATTTCACATCAAATTTGGGTGTATGTCTGGGGTATCACATGATAAATGGTATCGATTGTCCTGGGATTGCTGTGTTGTAAAATATGAAGTGAGATGTCCGTTATACAATTGATTGAAGAGTTGTTTGGAATTGATCATTGTAGTTGTTATCGACTGAAGCTTATTGAATGTCTGGTGAAATGATCAACAATCAGATCATTATGAATGAGGTATGGTGTATAATTTTTTGTGATTCAGTTATATTTTGATAATTATGTCAAGAAAACCTTAATGATCTTCTGGTAAATAAATTATTGGTTGATGTAACATGTAATGAAAGAACTCATGTTCAAACATATCCACCACTTAGTCACGATGTGATAAAATTGTGTCTTATAATAGAGGCAAATACTTGGTTATATTTAAACAATATACATGTATTAAATAGACTTGGGGACTTGAATGGGAACTTGTGGAACCCCTGGACTGTACTAGCGCAGCACTAGAGTCCGCGGAACCCTGATTGAAAATCACTGTTCTAGGACATAGTAGCTTCTTGTTAAAAGTTGAATCTCGTCAAAAATAACCGAGTTAATACAAGATGAAGAAATGATTTTCATGTTATTTTTTTAATTATTGAAGTGTATTTTATATTTTCAGGTACTGTTTAACTAAATCAGCCGTAAATCTAGCTCTTACTTGTAATGCTAAAATGTAATAAACATCGGCCAATAATTATTATATTTTTTTCAGGTTTAAAGATGGAAGAAGATCAAATTACCTGTCAAGAACAGTGGAATTTTTGACTGACAAACTTGTCATTTTGTCTTTTTGTCCCTTAGAAAAAAAATGTATTTCAAAACACTGAATCATTCTATTGTTTTTATTGCTATTGAAGTTAAAATTTCATCATTTTCTTATTTTTTTTTTATCACTCTATGACAAATTTTCTACCTATCTCATGGTGAAGGATTCGTCCATTTTAAATTAGCAGGCGTACATATCAATATATTATGGATTTGATCAATTTGTTAGACTGAATTGATCACATGTAATTAAACATGCATTATGCTTGTCAAAATACAAAATCTGTTCAGATAAATCAATCAGGATTCTATGCAACGAGGATGATTTTCAATTGAGTTCAAAGCATATTTCTAAAATTATTGCATTGTTATCCACAAATTACAGATGTTCAGAATTTAAATTAGATGAAAAACATGAATCATGATTTTTATCACACTAATCAGAGTTTTAATATCTAAGCAGTTGCTTTTTGTAGTCCAATATTGTTCTCTACTTTTTCATTTCATTTTCATCATCTTAGATTAGTCTAATCAGGCAGAAAAATTTGATCATCAACACGCTATCCAATTCATTACCTTGTATATGTTCTTTGATCGTCTATGATCATTTATTTGGGAATAACATTCTGCCATGATTTCATATGGTTTTAGTAGCTCATAGAATTTTAGTGGTCCTCCATAAATTTGCTTATAAATGAGTCTCTGTTACTTTAGAGTGTGTGAGCATCACATTGCTTTAAAATTTTTTGTAAAAAAGGGTAATGCTAGTGGTCAAACAAAGTGAGAAAATTACTGCCTCAATTATAATATATTCAATTTGAATTTCAAAAAACATACCTAAGGTATTATAAATTAAATTTGGGGTAGAACCACAATGAAATATCCCATAGGTTTGAGGGACCTCTGTGCAAACCTAGTACTGGCAAAGGAAAATGATCTTTAAAGTGTAGCAGGTCTGATACTAGTAGCAAACCTAATAGATGTTTGTTTATATTTAAACGATATACATATAATAATATTATACCATTTTGGATTTAATAGATTCCTGTACTAGCCTCGGGACCCTTGGGTGCCACGGTAGTGACGGTACCCGGCTGAAAACCACTTCTCTATATCATTGATCTCACCTGTTTCTAGTCCTAATGAATTTGCGACACATTGGAATGTCCACATGTTTTTCAGCTTAAAACTCATCCTGAAACAGGAAAATCGAAAGGATACGGCTTCATAAAATTTGCTGATTATGAGGTTCAAAAGAGAGTTACAAGCAAGCGTCATCAGATAGGAGGAAGGTGGTGTGATGTGAAAATTCCATATTCCAAGGTTTGGATCTTGATTATTTTGTTGTTTTAAACTAGAAAAGTTGCTGATGTCCAATTAGTATTTACATGTGACACATCATGAAGCCAGATCCAGGGGGATAATAGGGTTTCCCATTTTCTAAGACCTAATAAATGTATTGATATCATCATTAGAGTTTGCAATATTTGGCTGTTTTATATTGTAATATGTTATAATCTAAATCTATTTTTCTTCTCTCAGAGAAAATTACAAACATGGCAAAATTCATTTAATTTGCTTTGTGAAATTAATTCAATTATAATAAAATTTCATTTTGTTATAAGTGTTCTCTCCGTTTGCATAATTGGCTAATATTTTGTTGTTCTTAAATTTCTTATTTTCAAAGCAACAACAAGGGCAATCCCAGCTAAGTAACAGGATATTCGTTGGACGAGTGACAGAGGATATGACTGATGATGACTTGAGATCTTATTTCCGGCAGTTTGGTGAAGTCACTGATGTATTTGTTCCAAAACCATTTCGTCCTTTTGCATTTATTACTTTTGATGATGAAGGTATGATATGATTCTGGTTGTGAGACCATATTGTGGCCAACATATTTTAACTCTTTTCAAGTTACACCAACTTTTTAAAAAATTAAATTAGGTGAACTCTCACGGCCCAAGAATATGATCTAATACTAACTAGTAACTACCTTGCATGTTTTTTTCATTTCTGAATAAACTCCATAATGTTTCCCTGTAATCAAAAAATTTCACACGGAAATGTTATTTCTGTTTTGTCACCATAAAAAATGACTTTTTGTCATGCAAATACTATATTTTCGACTTGGCTGCTAAATGGGTCTGTACTTGACTGAGCTTTGGTTCATTAAACTCTTAAATATCAATAAATCTTCAATGTGGATTTGTCCAAAATGATTCAAATAAAAAATGAATTTTCTTAAAATTGATCATATTGGATATTTCAAATTTTTAAAATGAGAATAATCTGAGTTTCGTTCAAAAAACAATAAGTTTGAGCAATAGAAGTCTCATAGTATTATCACAATATCCTTTCATTATTGAAAACTGTAAATTAATAAAACCATTCAAATTAATATCCATCTCATTTTTTTTTCATTTCAAAATTCAAATTCATTGAATGTGCTATCGATTGGGTTTCCACAAGACCAACTACTTTTCTGTTTCCTATGCTTCTGCGTCGGTGGATCCGTATGCATATAATGCAAGGATGCTGTAGCAAGAGTGAAGATAACTATCCTGAGTAATCGAATAAATAGTCTCGCTGCACACTAACACGAATTTATTTCTGTAATGTTCGTCTGACCAAGCTATTCTTGCTTTAGTTGAAATATGTATGTCCGAAGAAGTTTGACCTTGGTTACTCAGGATCAGGATCATTGAATGTGCATTGAGTTTCTATGGGATTTTCTGACATGACCCTATTTAGAATATATATTTGATATTCCATATACAAAATGATACTTCAGAACATATTCGAAATAGTAGATTATTCCATTTCAGCCATCACCTGTATTGTGTTTCTCTTAGATGTGGCCGCAAGTTTATGTGGGGAAGATCATATTATAAATGGTGTAAGCGTATTTACAAGCTCTGCCGATCCAAAATCAAAATCCCCTGCACAGAATCAAGGTTTCAATAATAACATGGGTGCAAGTGGAGGGGGAGCCAGCGGTGGATTCTACAGTAGTGGCGGAGGGGGATTCGATGGTCGTAATCGACAAATGCGAGATCATGAAAGGGGAGGCTGGAACAGATCACATGGAGGGGGCAGTAATCCTATGGCTAGCAACAGTGGGTATTCTTGTTAAACTAGTAGTATTCAATGCTAACAATTGCTACATATTTTTCAGCTTTCGAAAGAGGTATATTTTGCATGAAACTAGCCCCAGTATTGTTAGTATAAACAAGCCAAATATAAATATTACTGATATCATATAGAATGAACCATGAGTATGACATCCTTTTTTCTGCAACTAATGGACCAACTGATTTCAAATTTTATGTACTCAAATATGAAAATATTTTTCAAAAGGCTCTTACTTTTTTTTTTAATTTTTTTTTCATGTCACGTGTGGTATGATATTTGATCAAATTTTAATTCATCTGAACACTGTTTATACTGTCAAGCGTGACCGTCATGGCTATCCTTGGTGTTGATATCACGAACTCAGTGCTCGGTCACATTACCATTTTTCATCTTCATTTAAGTTTATAATGGTTAATTTATAATCAGGTGACAGTGGTGGATCATTTGCAAGTAACAGTGCTCCTTCACCACCAAGTTTCCCTGGAATGCCAGGGAACCCAAATCAATTTAATATGAATCTCATGAATCCAGCAATGTTAGCAGCTGCGCTCGGATCTTGGAACCAAATGCTTAATGGAATGATGGGTGCCGGTGGACAAATGCCTGGCGGTGCCACACAGATGCCCATGCCGCCCATTCACGGTGTCACGTCACCAATGTCTGGTAGCGGCTCAAGTGGGAAAAAACAGGATGGGTCAGGGTATAGTGACAATTGGAATAACAATCGTGATAATTCTCAAAAGAATAATGGTAATTGGCAATATAATCCGTATGACATCTGAGATACATTTTTAATTGTTTTTTTTCTTAAATTTTGCCAACTTTGTGATGTGCTGTATATGCGCCTAGTATTCAGTTGAAGCTTTGCAGTTAAAGATTGCTGTAGGAGGCGGGTGCCTTTTATGACTGTGGGAATGTGTTTACCATGATTTTATCAGTAACTCGATGAGGTGCAGATTTCCAAATGGGAACTTGCTTTACTGATTATAATTCCAACTGATGATGTAAATAATGTTTTTCATTATCTATCAATTGTCATTTTACGTTTTGAATACATATAAATATTACGGACTTTTGTAAGTAAAAAAATCGGTCAATAGCTGTGCAAGTGTTTGTTTGGTATTTTTCCGATGGGAGATAGATCGTCAGGGCCATGTTATTCTGCATGCAGTGTTCTACTGGAAAGTAATTTAAAGTTCTATAGATTATGGCGGGTACCAATACCTATTTACGCCTATATACCCATGATGTCTTTGTCTCCAAATGCTGTAGCGCTTGACGGTCTTTGAGAGACTTGTTTTTGAGTCACGGTAGGGAGTGAGCTTTGATTATTGTCGTGTCGCATCGCCGTCCCACTCTTTATATTATGGGATACGGTTCGGCCGAGCTGTGAACAGACGGCTCTCGATAGGCTACCGCCACGACTATGTCATAGTTTTAAATTATTTTAAACTGTCTATGACTCTATAGTCTATATAGTTTTTTATCCGCTCCATTCTCCCACGCTTCGGCGATATGTCGCATTTTAATCGGGAACAACAGATGGGTGCGATTCTAGGATGTCAAATACTACTCTTGATGTCAATTCCTCATGTGTTATTTCGGTATAATTAGGGTTGACCCTGCCATGTTCAAATATAGATAACATTTCATGCTATTTTGACTCTGAAGGCATAAGTTTGTGTAATAGTATAATGATTAACAGTTATGTACAGCAGCAATTATGCTGATATTTCAATTTTGTTTTTCAAGATAGCATTATTTTATACCTCAAAATGCCAGCATTTGTGTGTGTTCCAGCCAATAGGAACATGATTAAACTTTGGTTGCGGGCACACGCTGTGGAAGAAAGGGTATGGCGATGGATGAATCATGAAAAAAATTATGGATAGCAATAATCGTGGGCTATAGCGACACCTCACGGAGCAGCAATTTAGAGAGGACATGTGAGGGTGGAATGTCTGAATGTGTACCGTACGGTAAGCTACGGTACCTATTCGAGATTAGTAACAAACAATTCTTCGCTGCATGATATCCGGAACTTATGACTGTAATAACTAATAACCTCTGCCTCAGCGTTGATGTTCTATTTCAGTATTTGCCCAAGCAATACCGTAAATGAATAAGAGAGTCACATTTGAATAGACCTAGCCTACCTTCATACAGACAGTACATGCTCACTTGTTAATACAAAATAACGTTGGCAGGCTCACCAGGCTGGTGCTGGCAGCTATCAGTATTGAATACAAGGTACGGTAGATAATGCATGTAGCCGTAACTGGCTTTATTTCGAATCAGTTGCAAAATCAAAACAATCACGGAAAATAAAAAGGAGAAAAGTCTAAGAAGTGAACTAAACTTATGAGTTTAAATCATATCACATGTACCGGTATTAATCGCATTCACCTACCAAACAGCCAAAAAATCAAACAAACATGAATGTAAGTACGGTAAGACCTTGGATCAGGCCTGCACAACGTACGGGCTGCATGTGGCCTAAGAAAGCTTATTTCACGGCTAGCGAAGTGATTTAAAATATTTATACTCACAAAAAATGAAGAGATTGATGCACGTAATTCTGAATAAATTCATCCAAGTAAATGTTCAAATTACCAATTCAAATAAGCTGGAAATTGCTCAATTTCGTTCAATTTATCTAAGTCCTTTTGCATCTGGCATATAATTTTGGCACACTCACGTTTTGTACCATAATTTCTTGTGTGTTGCAAGGGAATGCATGGAAGTGCATACAAGAGTAACGATTGATTTGAGCATTTCTCAACCAAATCACAATGATCAGAAACAAAGATTCAAATGGACAAATAAATAGGTATTTAATTGCAGCCGAAAATTCAAAACCATTCTGTTTTGCATACTGAAAAGTGGCGTCAGTTCAACTGCACAAAAGGAAACATTTTGGTGTTAAACATTATAAAAACTAGATCTGTAGAACTAAAACTGTGATTTCTGGAATATTTTGAAAATATCAACTTAAGTGATCGTGTTCATTTATGAGGAGTTTCTTGCTAGCATTCCCCATGAAAAGTTGGATCTTGTGTCGATTCGTTTATATATTTTATATTCCGGACAATACTGCAATATGATATCGATATACCGTAATGACGATAACGTGTCCCATGAACATTTGTTTTAGTTGAATATATGATAACATTTGTTGCGGTCACTTACCGGTAGTTCATTGGCCTGCCTTAAGCCAATAGTCAACTCAACTCTGGCATCTAAATTTGAAATCAGATTATATATATTCAATTTATTCACAAACAAAATAGGGAATCGAATATGGGTGAGTGTTTGGTTTAGTCCCAATCCTCAGTCTTGAGGCAAGTGATGGATTATCAATTCCGAATTCCTGGGAAATTTTCGATGATCATTACCTTTGCTGCTTTGATTCAAATAGTCATAATATAGAAAGGTTTTCAGTATCTATCTCCCAGTGCTTTTTATATCTCTCAAACACCAGAGCCTTATAGTTGTCGATGCTCTTTGCGGCAATTTATTATCGGGCCACTGTAAAAACACCTAACATTTACAGAATTGAAAGTCTATGATATTTTATGATTGATTTGATCGAGATTTATCAGGACAATGACAAGTAAAGAAGAAGAAATTACCAGAAAGATTGAACTCTTGAAAAGAAAGAATGAGCTCCTCTTACAAAGACACAAAGAAGTTGAAGAAGACAAAAAATCTGCGGAAAAATCGGGACAAAATTTCAGTAAGCCATCTCATGAAAACCCATCACAGGGTCAAAAAAGATCTGAAAAGGTATATTATGACTTTATGGTGTCATTTTTTCGCTGTATATTATCATATCACTCACTACTCATGGATTGACCAATCAAAACAATATAGGTGTTGGGTGAAATATTGTTAATTGTTATATATATCTTACAAGAATATATTTGCAACCAAATTTCAGTAGCTGAATGTGATAATAAAATATAAATAAACTTGTGAAAATGTCTCGCGTGACATCAGATTTCAAAATTGAAAAATTCCCTGCTCGTTTCAGGTTCAGCGTGGCGGGAGATATCAGTCACACAGAGCACATATGGATGAATATGATGAAAAAAAAGTTCCTGATCAATCTCGTGAATCTAATAACAGGAGATATAGAGGAAGGGGAGTGCAGCAAGATGATGTACCTCGAGGGTCATCGAGAGGAAGGGGAACACAGCAGGATGATGTACCTGGAGGGTCATCGAGAGAAAGGGGAACACAGCAAGATGATGTACATCGAGGGTCATCGAGAGGAAGGGGAACGCAGCAAGATGATGTACCTCGAGGGTCATCGAGAGGAAGAGGAACACAGCAAGATGATGTAACTCGAGGATCATCAAGAGGAAGGGGTAGAGGGAGAGGAAGGCCACAACAGGTGATAAATATATCTCAAGGTTGTGTAGAATAAAGATAACTATTCAGTTTGATTCAAGAGTCTTACTGCACACTAATATAAATGTATTTTTGTAATGTTCCAAGAGCAGACTTCCTCAGACAAGTAGATTTCAAGGAGTCTGACCTCGGTCAGACTAAACGTTACAGAAATACATTTGTGTTAGTGTGCAGCAAGACTCTTGAATCGAATAGAAATTTGGATAGATATTTAGATATCAATTTGTTGTATGATGATTACTCCTCATGAAACATGTCAGAACTCAATGTTCGTTTATAAGATTCAAATTAATTATATAATGTTATATAACAGGATTATGAAGCAAAACGTTTAGAAAATTTTCGTCTAATGGAAGAAGAACTGGCACAAGGCACTACAGAAGAGGTGAAATACAATAACCATGTACTAAGTTTAGGATCCAGCTACAAATAAATCTGTTTGTCTGATAATCCATTTTTTTTAGTTCAGTTTTTTGTAAATTGAGCTTATAGGAACTTCAAATTTGAAATATCTTAAGCATCTTTGGCAGTGTTGTAATATCTTAAATGGGATTTATGTATTTGTGTGAAATATTTTATTGAGTTTTTATTGAACTACTTTTGTATGTTTTTGATCATACAAGAAACAATTATTTATGAATTTTCCGTAGGCTGCAGAACCATCTCCTTCTCCTGTAGTTCCAAGATTTCTTGATGACCCAAGAAGGAGAGGAGAATTGGATCCAGAGCAACGATGGAAATCAACCAGACATAAAGGGAGTTACGGTGGACTTGATTTTGATAATATCAAACATGAAATGAGAGGGCGAGGAAGAGGTGGAAATTATGTAAGAGGATATTCTAACATCAATGAATTAATGATTTCTCTTTTGTGTAATCTAATTGTGCCTTGTGTATTATATACAGGGTGTCTAAAAAGAGTTTGCCCGATTTTATAGTAACAATAATTTAAAATTTTTTTGTCTTTGTTTATTAATAGTACTTATTGCGCTTGCAGTTCTCATTTATTATACAATAAAATTTATTTTAACAATTATTATTACTATAAATTTGGGCGAAATTTTTGGACACCCTGTATTTACACTGCAAGGTCAGAACGGTTAAGATAGAGACAGGTTTTAGCTATTGTTTTTTGTGTTCTACATCTGAGATATTTTTCATTCAAGCTTTTGTATCAGCATGTCACTGAGGTATAGGTGTAGATAGATTAGACGAGGATTATTCTTCACCTAGCCTCAAATATTTTAAGGAATTCTGTTTTATTAGCAACACTGTTTGCATACGTTTTGTTTAGCTGACTTCGATTAAATCGAGTTTTTTTCATTTGTTGTTCTTAGAGGGAACATCATGGTAGGGGCAGAGGTGCATCGAAATTGCAAATGTCTGCAGAATATACTGGAAGAGAGAGACGGGATCAAGAAAGGTGGCACGCAATGAGAGAGGCAGCAGACAAGTATTTTTTCTACTTTCATTTTGTTGACAAAATCTATTTTGTTTGAACCTCATTTTGTCATTTTTATTATTAGAGAAATTATGGCTCGCTCTAAAACATCAGAAGGTCAGTGGAGACGAGAATGGGATCAGAGAAAAGATACGTTTGATTCACTACCACATGATGACCAGGGGTAAGTGAAAGTATTTGTTGAATTTTATGTTATATATTGACTAAAAGTAGTGAACCACGTTGATGAAATAAGCTATGTTATGTACGAGGCGCCTCTACAAGGAACAATGCTTTACATGACAACTGCGCACAGACCGCATTATATTTATAGAATGATATAAGCTGTGGTCTCCCATGAACTTCTTCTATATAGTTGAGACACTCAAAAATAAATAGTATTTATTATTCATTCGAAATTGAGGTAATGAAAACTTGAAATAAACATCTGAAGTGGATAAACATGTTTGTAAATAAATAGATATTGCTTTATAAATAGATTCGTCCCTCGATTTGTCAAGCCATGTTTTTTTTCAAATCATAAAAATTAATCTCACATAAACAAACACAAATTTTATGCCTTTTTGTTTTTATCCTATGAATGTAAAGTTGGTGGACCCCAAAGTTTCCTTTTGGACCCCAGGTTGGGTACCAATGAATTGATCTCTCTGTGGACTGCCGTTTGAAAATAATTTAATCCTATTATTGATGATTGAAACGCTGAGCACTTAGATGACAATCAATTTATTTATCTTATTGTGGTGTTTGTAATCTTGCAAGCCCTTTTTCTTTTAAATGCAGTCACATGGCAATAAAAGCTTCATTATTAACTATTTTCATATATTTTTATTCACAAAGCGAGTCTAAAAATTGTTACAATATATATATATATATTTTAGACATTCTGATCGATATGATGAACCTCGTCGGAACCATCGTGGTGGAGGTCGGGGTAGAAGAGGTAGAGGAAGACGAGGAAGCAGGAGCAGTCACGAATCTACTGAAAATGGGTGAGTTTTGAAAAATTTGAGTATTAGTGCTACTATGGGCTACTGTATTTTGGTTATTTCATCCCCAATCTATCAAATCTATTGTCTGTCAAATTTATATTAAACCCGCATACTTTCTATTTTAAATCCTTCAATATTGTGATTTTATGTGTGGTTGATTTTATGTCTGACAATATTCTAAGTAATTTGAGAACATTGCATTATTAAAATAATGATTTCTATTATTCAATAAAATATTCTCGTGATATTTCCCATGTGCAACGAAACAAGGTACACCTACAGCTACAGCTACCTTTTGGAATATTTGCTTTTTTTATCCATGTTCATTTTCCAATTTTAAACCTTTCATTACAAAACTTGAATAAGCTCCCATCCAACGTAATTTAATCATTGTGTATATTATATCACAGGTTACTGTTTGTACAGAAAAGATTTATATTTGAGGAATTGTATATTATATAATAATATATTTTGGTTTTGTTACATGATATTCATAGAAACAGATTCCACAGGTTTCATTGTTCACTTAATCTATGATTCATGATTTAGTTTAACACCAGTGTGGTATGTTTGCAATTTTCCAGTTGAGATTAAAGAAGTTATTCAGTCTCATAGTCGCACTCATAATAATTTTACCATTTTGAACTTGAATTTTCCGGGGTACAACTCGTATGAAAATGTTAGATAAGAGCAATAAAGATTTGGAGCTTTGTGGCCGGAGATGTAGATGAACATAGATTGTTGATTAGTTTACTTGTTTTAGCCTTTCGTGTAATCTAGAAAAGGATTTATAAAAATGGAAATTTTTTCAGATTCGAAGAATAATATCTCATTGAGATAAAGAACGAGAGATTGTTTTGAGATGAATTTACGTTATTGGACATTTTTACTGAGAAGAGTTGAGAACACTTCTTTCAGATTTTAAAGTTGAGTTACTGACGAGTGACGACACAGAATAATAATTGCCACCGAGGTTTTTTACATCACTTAGTTATCAGCTGCATGATGTCATGATCTGTCTGTTCATGAATATGAATTTACGTTATCGGACATTTTAAACTTGCGACCACTTCTTTAAAGTTGAGTAACTGAAGACGCTGAACAATAATTACCACCAAGGTTTTTGCACCACTTAGTTACCAGCTACATGATGTCTCTATTCATGGAAATCATTGGAATGCAATGTATTGGGTGAGCTTGGAGCATTTTAATTTTAGTGCTCAGAGCATGTGTGGACAGTAAATGCAGTAGCCTACTTTAGTTATATCATGGATTACATGGTAGTTTCTTTGGCAGTGCAAGTTTGAGGTGTCTCTTGTCTGTTTTCAACTCGGGTTAGTTCAGCAATTCAAAAAATATAAGCTATAACAGTAGATCCTACCGACTACTCTATTAGACTATGGCAGATAACCTAAATCAATACATGACTTTAAGCATTACAGCATGATCAAATATCCAGGATATGAAAAACGTTTCAATTTTACAGATACATATATAGTGAACAAACGACTTGCAGGAAGTAAACACTAGTTACCACCGATAAACCTCATTTCTTTACCAACCTAAAATCTGCCCATTGTTCTAACTCATTAATGGATTTTTTGATGTTCAGAAAAACTCCCCAAAAGACTGACCAGGCAGCACCAGTGCAAGGTGAGCAAGTACAGGAGACACCAGGTTTGTGACTTTGTGATTTCCTTATTTTAATAGTTACTTGTCTAAGACATTGTAGGCATGTAAAGGTTTGAAATGCTTAGAGATTATTTTTATAACATTTCTTATTATCGAAACAAAATTTGGTACTCCCGTAGTGTGTATACCAGGTTGGGGTTAGGCCATAATTTTATTCAGATTTATCTTTTTTTAGTTCTATTACAAGTTCGGGGACTGCCTGTGTTAGCCAAGTAAATATACTGCTTACCCATAGGTTTTGGTGCTTTTACACAACTTGATGTAAAGTAGGCGAACAAAATTAGTTACCTCCATATTGGTGCACACACTTCTGGAGCGCCCATAACATTGGGAGCATTCATTGATGTATATTCATTAAATTGATGGGTATTAACAAAGAAATCATAATTAGCTGTACTTTTATAGAAAGTTGTTAATCCCCCCTATCTTTGATCTCCACTACTATGGGTATGATCGTTAGCATTAAGTACTTATCAATTATGTTATATTGGTTATGGAGTTGTTACCTGATGCAAGATTTATGTTATTTGTCTGTTAGCGATTAGCATGTAAATCTCTTTATGTTTGCATCACATGTTATCTGGGGTTTAGGTATGGGGCCCATTTTCCAACTAAACACAAGCCATCTTCTTTCAGATAAACCATATTCTGGACCCCATGCGTATTACTTCGTGGCTGCTATTAAAAATCTGGTACTCCTGTAGTATGTGTACCAGGCTTCAGTCCCTTCACACAACTCGATGTAAAATAGGCGAACAAAATTAGTTACCTCCATATTGGTACATATAAAAATCTTGTTAGGATAAAAATATAAAAATATGGGAAAAACCTTAGTTTATACATTCCAGAGACAGTGCTTGAAGACCCAGAGGCAAATGAGGAAATTCCTGTTGAAAGCAGAAAAGAGAAACAAAATGATCAGGATGAGGAAAAGTCAGCAGATTCTAAGCCACAAAGGCAAAGAAAAACTAAAAACAAGAGTCCTCGTCATCTCAATCAGCAAAGGGCTCAAACTCCATCCAGTAAAGATGGCACGGAAGTTTGGGCACAAAATAGTCACCACAGTGATGAGATAGGACAGGACTGGAAAAATGGAGCAAATAGAAGGTAAATTTTAGAATAAACGTTTTATCAGTCTCTACCTTCTTGTGAAAGTTTATTCAAGAGGTTATGACTGAAATACAAAATCTGCTGTACGTAATAGCCCGATAGGATGTATATGGAGTTCAATAACCGAATTCTGGTTCAGAGGGTACTAGGATATTGCATCCTCTCTCATTGTCTAAATTGTCCAGCTTTTGGCAGAAAATATCCTATTGGCATACCGGCCTGAATATATATGCTGATGTGTTCCTCAAACTCTTTATTCAATTTAAAAATTTTGATTTACATTCAAATTGCTATAATGCTAATTTTTTAACCATTTTCAACGAAATTTGTTTATTTTACAGTGCAGAGCAGTGGCTACCTTCTGATGAAGGTAATCGGAATCCAGCAATTGATGAAAGAAAGTTGGAGCAACAAGAAGATGGTGCTACTGTATATTCAAGACATCTTGGTCGAGGGTGGGGAACAGAGAAAAACATTAAAGCCACGAAGGCTTGGGTGATAGATACTGAGAAAGCTGGTGATAAAATATTACCACCCGAATCTTCTGACAAATCACCTAATAATAGGGGTCGGAATGAAAACCGTTCAGACGATAAACCAAACTCTGCTCGAAAAGGGCGTAATTTCAAAAAGGAAGATACTAGATTAAAAGCGATTGCAAATGAACGCTCTGAAATGCGTTCAGCATCTCCGAGGTTAAGACGAGGTCACCCGGAACTTACAGTGCAAATTAGTGAAAGTGGTGGAAGGAGGGTTAAACGTTACTCTGAAGGTGATAAAGCACATTCTCTAAGCGAAAAAATTGACGCTGAAAATAAAGACGATAATAACAAACAGGCTGATGAATCTCAAAACTCTATTAAATCCCCTCTTTCAGCTGGTGCTCTTAAAACTCCTGAAGGAATGGAGTATGTCACGGACTGGGCAACAGAAATGGAATTGCAAAGTCCAACATATGCCATTAGGCAAAAAAAATTAGACGAAACTGAGGCTTCAAAACAAGTTAATAAACCTTCAACATCAGATTGTGTTGAAGATTCAAAAACAGACATTCAAAAGGCACCACAGAATAAACCTGAGCCATTAGAAAGTACCACAAGTGATGCCACTAGGCAAAAAAATCTGGAAGAAACCGAGATTTCAAAACAAATTAATAAACCTTCAACATCAGATTGTGTTGAAGATTCAAAAACAGACATTCAAAAGGCACCACAGAATAAACCTGAGCCATTAGAAAGTACCACAAGTGATGCCACTAGGCAAAAAAATCTGGAAGAAACCGAGATTTCAAAACAAATTAATAAACCTTCAACATCAGATTATGTTGAAGATTCAAAAACAGTTGTTCAAAATCCACCACAGAATAAATCTGAGTCATTAGAAAGTACCACAAGTGATGCCACTAGTCAAAAAAAATTAGACGAAACTGAGGCTTCAAAACAAGTTAATAAACCTTCAACATCAGATTGTGTTGAAGATTCAAAAACAGATGTTCAAAAGGCACCACAGGATGAACCTGAGCCATTAGAAAGTACCACGAGTGATGCCACTAAGCAAAAAAATTTGGAAGAAGCAGAGATTTCAAATCAAATCAATAAACCTTCAACATCAGATTGTGTTGAAGTTGAAGATTCAAAAACAGATGTTCAAAAGGCACCACAGAATAAATCTGAGTCATTAGAAAGTACCACAAGTGATGCCACTAGGCAAGAAAAATTAGACGAAACTGAGGCTTCAAAAGAAGTTGAACCAAGTACCACAAGTGATGCCACTGAGCAAAAAAATTTGGAAGAAGTCGAGATTTCAAATCAAATCAAACCTTCAACATCAGATTGTGTTGAAGTTAAAGATTCAAAAACAGATGTTCAAAAGGCACCACAGAATAAACCTGAGCCATTAGAAAGCATCACAACTGATACTGCGCAAGAAGAGGAAATAGATACTCGTGAAACTGAATATACAGACACTACTGAGAATAAAAATTTTGAAGGGTCTCACGCAATTAATGAATCCTCTGAAAAAATGCCTGTCGGCGTGGAATCCCTTGTAGAAGATGGAAAATCTAACTTGGATATTACTTGTAATAAAGTTGAAGAAGTAGGTATCCAGGATGTGAGCACAAAAGAATCGACAGATGGAAATTTCAAGGATGCAGAAGAAGAAATAGATGATGAGTTTTATGAATGTGATGAAAATGATGACGAGCACAAGGATCTTCCCTTGGATAACAAGGAGAAAACTGATGCAAGGTAATTTTTCTGATATTGTATAGGAATAAAGAATATCTATGAGTTTGTATGCAAGCAAAGAATACTTATTTACTAATAATTTACTATTCTGAAAACATTCTAAAATCATAATTTTAAAAATGGAAAAGAATAGAGTTTCAGATGAAAGTCGTTTAGTCTGAAAATTTTAATAAATCTTTGTTTTGAATTCCTGATATAAAGTGATTTATCTGTTTGTACCTAATTTGAAATTTTTTATGTTAACATTCTTTCCAGTGAACCGAAGCAGGAACCTGCAAATGTGGGAAGATTTTCTTCAAACTTCAGATTCTAAATGTGAAGTATCGCCAAATGATCCAGAACCTACAACAGCGTCAGAAAATGTACTACCAGTTGTTGAAGAAACAATACAGCAAAAGAATATGGCTCCTGAAAATGAAGAAGACAAGGTCTCGTGACAATGAAGTAGTTAAATTTGTATGCTTAGGTCTTAAATAAAAATTTGAGGATCATATTGTTTGGACAAGGTGCTACATATTCGAATGATAGTGTGAGAGAGCGATGTCGCGTAGCGAAAAATAGGCTCCCGACTCTAACTTCCGAACCGTTGAAAAATGGATCAAACGCTTCTGTGCAAAAATTTTGATATTAGAGACTTTGGCGTATTTTAGCCTCAATTTTCACCTGTGAAGAATCAATAAATTCGACCCTAATATTTCATGCTTCCAGCACCATTTTTGTGAGGTCTCTTTACGTTACAAATACGACAAGTACAATCATTTATTATGCGGTTATCTCGCTCTATAATTGATTCAGTGAAATATTGAATAATGTAGCAGTCAATACTAGATTTTTTATTCATTTGTTTCCTAATCGTTAGGAATCTTTTTAACATTTTTTTCACTTTGCACCTATTCTGCTGCTCTTGGTACTTTTGGTTTTTGTGTAAAAAAGTTCAATTAAGTGTTCGTTGGATTAATATTAAATGTCCATCCAACTAATTTTGGTTATCGTTTTTATCCAGCTAGTGAGCTGGAGTCAATCTCTCTATAATAAATGGAGCTGGACTAATCTAGATTATCATCTATATCTGACTGGAATAGCAGTGAGAGGATCGGAGATTTTTGCAGCTAAGGATGTGAAAGGAACAAGTCAAAAAAATATCTTTCACAGTACTGTGACTTTATTTCATTCTGAATGAACTAACTACAATGCAAAATGCAATTATTATAGAAATAAATATTAGCACAAATTAATATTAATCATAAATGCGTAATGCTGGAACATAGCAGTATAAGAAAGTGGTCGCCGAATGAAATTAAACAATGTTAAAATGTGGCATCCTAACACAAAGAGAATATCACTGATTACTTAGGGAAAAGATCGCATTTATCAATAAAAACTCCACACAAGTTTTATCTTCTCTTTGTTTCTTCAATCATTTGAAATACTCTTCAGGGAGATTTTGGTTTGAAAGCTTGTAGTTTTGTCCAATGGAATTGGTTAAGAAAATGTTATCAAACAACTAAAAAGCACCTTTTTTTTTATTAAATTTAATAAGCTGGTCAAAGCAATGCTAAATCGATTACATAAATATAAAATCTACCAGGTATTTTTGCAATAAAACCCATTTATTCGCTCAATTCACTTATTATAACTAATGAGCAAGGCTTTGAACATGGCGATACTGATGTGATGAGCTACTATTCTTAATATGTTCTAAAATTTTCTAGTCTAGGCAGGCCTGGGCAAGTTGCGGGCCACATCCGGCCCGCGGCAAGGTTTTATCCGGCCTGTGAGCAAATTTCTAGATTTAGACACTTTTTTTTATTATTTACATATAAAATATACTTTGATTGCGAAGAAAGGAATTTTAGGACAATGAAAAAGTCGATAATAACATTCGACTAAATTTCCTTTCTAACGCCGATTGTTTTTGTCATCTCGAGGTATTATTTAGATTAGATTTTAGAACGTAAACACCTATACGTCGGGGATTAGTCTCCTCGAGTCACAAGTTTTCCTCGACATATATAGCGTATGTCTTGTATACGGAACTGTGAAACCATTGGAAAAAACGAGTTATTATATAATCATCGGCGACGAGATGCTAAAGATAAATAAGGAGTGAATCTGCAAGCAAATTAAATCTAGATTTAGAGCGGCAATATAAAGTACTAAAATTTGAACAGAAACAAGTTATGATTCAAACGGCTCGCGACAGATTAAAAAAGCTTTTTCGAAAATGGAAACTAAAAAATTTCTGGTGCCCACAGCACACATTTTAATTGCGTAGCTTTCGTGGGCGCGATGTACCTTTTGATCAATTCTAAAACTACCGACGGGACCAGATTTATATGACAATTGATGTAAGGTAAACTCAATCGATTTTTATGTAACTAAAATGAATTTTACTCAGTGTGCTTTAATCGCAGGCGTAGGGATCTTTCTGATGGTGAAATCTTCAAACAGAGCTAAGTCAGTGTTGCAGGAACAGATCAGATTTGTCGAAATCACGAAATCGCAAAACACGAATAAAAATAATCTGGCACGTTCTTCACTTTTAATGTCCGCAGTGGTATTTCAGAATTGTAATGCCTATATTTTATCAAAGCAGCCGTGGGTTAGGTTGAAAACAACAAGACATTTCAATGTGCCCGTATCAATGAATTTCAAATATATCCGTATCGCAAAAAATGGATATATATTGTATATAAAGTATATTCCGGCAGTTTATCTCACATTTTTAAATCCGCGGTTTGCCGTGGTATTTTATAGCAGACTTTTAAGCTCGCAACGCCTTCCAATGCATTAAAATTTCCGCGAACCTTGTTCACCTTAAAAATGCCATGATGACAGCAAAGTTAAATGAATCACGATGTTTGGCCACCAAAGGCATGGTCCTAATCCCGCATTGTTACTCGCTTTCCACCATTAATGACAAAATTCGGCATTGTTACGCAAGCGTTCCGTTTCTCTGATCCAATGTATTGCCTCGAAATCGCCAGATTTACGTTTTGAACTAGTTTTATTGAATGTGCTTTGGATAAAAATGCTAACAAAGTACAATAGATATAGTACTTATTTATATACTTACTTATATATAGTACGTATTTAAATGTCTAATAAAATACAATAAAAAGTCGCAATTGACTCTACTTAGTCCGTCCCGCCACTGCATTCTGAATATTCAATGTGACCCGATACCAAAAATAATTGCCCAGCCCTGCTCTTGGGTGAAGTGGGCATGACAGTTGAAAGCAAAACAATTAATAATTTATTTATGATAAATTGCATTACTCAACAAAGTTATTGTCCACTCTGTGCATTAAATTAAAGTTGGCCAGAATACCCACTATAAAATGTCATTCATTTGAATTATTCACGAATATCCTAATCCTATCACGAAAAATCCTAATCTGTCTGAAAGTTTTTCACAATATGTCAGTGAAGTTGAGAGTAAATGAACGCCAATTTCCCAAGCCTGTGGTATCTTTTGCACCAGTCGATTTGTAAAAGTCAAGTGAGGGGCTGTTACTTCCCAGGCAAGAAAAACGACACTGCATACATCCCCTTTTTTCAGCTATTTCGGACACAGTTTTCATCAACTTCAGCCCTAGACCCTGCCCTCTGTGAGATTTTTCCACATATATATCTTCTAAATAAACATCTTTACCATAAAATGTGGAATAAGCGAAGTAATATAGAGCATACCCAACTGTGACTGATTGCACCACTCCCGCTGAAACAGATTTCGATTCAGCAAGAATGCAGTGAAAAGATGGATCTTCTTCAAAACCATCTTCGTAAATTCTTTCAAATGTTAACTTACATTGATCAAGCATATTTTGATACTCCATAAGATCTTTTATCATTGCAAATATATCTACAGCATCCTCCTTAGTTGCCTTTCGAACAGTGTAGGTAAATTCCATTTTTGTCTGTAACTGTGTCGTTACTTCTGCCCAAGTCAGTCTCTCCGCACCTTGAAGTAAGAACTTTAATGCACTCGGCAGTCTGTTCCTTAATACTTGAAAGAACCTTCTCCCATCTGCATTTACCGCCACTACGCTATTTTTGCTTACATCCATTTCTTGTAGCGCCTTCGTTATGATTGTCCACGGTTTCTGGGTTGCCCAATTATAGGTTCCTCTTACTTCATTGATTACCAAATCATTGTTGGCTAATCCCTGGGGATTCGTTGTCGCTAACGATGTCATAATATCTTCCCAATTAGGCTCAGGGTCGGAGAATGCCAAGGCGATTTGCTCTGCATCCTTGTTTCGGTTGGCCTCTTTTAATTTCGTTTGCAATGCATTAGCCAAAACCACGTCTGCTGACAAATTCTCTTCCCCGTGGGGAATTCTTTGCATGCTTTTAGTCATCCACCTCAGTAGATTTTGGTTTCCCGGAGGAGGCATTAACTTCATCTGGTCCTGGAACGATGATTCGTGGGTTATCAATTTCTATTGACCTTAACCTTTGTCCTTGTCCCGGAGTATAATTTTCGTTTTCGTGCTCTCTCGTCTGATTCAATTCTTCCTGTTGTCTTGACTGGGGGGGTCAAGATGAGTGGACGCGGGATTAAGGTTGACTTTTGATAACGCGTTACATGGTGGATTCCCGGAAAAAATCCCGTCAACATTTCATTTTTTATCCTATCGTCTGTGACCGCGTCTCGTCCTGGTATTCCCGTGGGGAAACACGCGGTCGGTATATTTTGGCCCTTTGGCGTCGAGGTCAATCGCTCTGGGCGCACCATTCGCACGACTTGGTGGTCCATGCCCGGTTCCACTAGCATCATAGGACCAGGAGGAAGATTTGGGTTTTCTCTCACCCTTTCGTATTCGATTGGCCTCACCATCATGTCTGTTTTTAGCGCGAACGTACAGTCTAACGGGGCCGTTGGTTGGACGTCGAGTCGTTCATTGCCTGGGTACTCAGGAGGCTCTTCCTCAGACTTTTTGTTTGGTGTTTCACCCCGCACCCTTCGCGTCATCTCTTCTATTCTCCTTATGGATTCCCTTGTTGCTTATTGTATTTCTTGGCATAGCCTATCGTTGTTTTCCCTTGAGTGATTTAATCCCCTTCCGAAGCTCGCTTCTTTCTCGTCTTTATTCACATCGCTTGTCTGGATTCCAAAGGAGGCCGCTTCTTTTTTTCGACGCGATTCTTTTTTTAGGGTTGGATAAACAATTGTCATCGGGACGGCTGGGGAGGTCAGCGTAGGCGTGACTGTCGGCTCTTCCCTTGACCTCATTGCTTCGCCGTGAGCTTTTCCCAATGCATATTTCTCTGACACCAATGCTTCAACATCCTGTATTGACACTTTTTCTGCCGCTCGTTTTGCCGCTTTCGTCAGGATGGCTACTCCCTTTTGAGTTCGCTCGACGTCGATTTCAGCCGTTTTTAACTCTTTCTTTAGCTTGGGTAATTCTGATTGGAGTTGCTTCGCTTCTGCATGCAATTCTTTTATTAACTTGGTTTGCGTCGCGATTTTGTTTTTTAGCTCCGCTTCACTTTCCGTCGCGTCTTGGTGTTGTTGACTTACGAGTTTCAAATGTCCCACTCTTTTCCTCAACTTCACCTCATCGCGACTCACTGGTTCCCTTTTCTTAGAGAAAATTCGCTTGAACATTTTTTCAGCGTCTTCGTTTCAGCGTCTTCGTTTCTGTTGTCTAGAGACTCCCGGCGGAGATGCCAACTTTTCAAAGTGGTTTTCTCTGCTTGACTTCGTCGTCTACAGGTGATTCCGCTTGGTTCGGGGCTTCGACAACAGTTCTTTTAGTCTTGATCCAATCTTGTTTGCATTTTATTAATCTATTTTTATCTATTTTAGTTATGTTTTAAATCTTAATACAACCAAATACTCCAATACTTACCTAGAACACCACCATGTTTTAACACGATCAATGTCTTAATTAAGTATTGAAAACAATACACATTTCATTTAAAAAAAAAATATCAATCAAGATATTAACATTTCATTTCACATACGTCACATAATTCGAGTTTCTTTAATCCAACAACAAAAACCTCGGGGTATAGGGTTGCATTTCGTTTTATTCATATCTCATTTTTTAACTTTTTTGTTTTGTTTATATAGGGTTTTAAATTTACAAGTTTATGTATGCACCATTATATAAGCATTACAAAAAAAAAAAACACTTATAGCAATACGTATACATAATAATAGGCATGCAATAAAAATAAAATACAAATTAGTTACACTTCACTATTCCTCAATAAGTTTTAAACATTA